GTGGCTTATCAGTATGGTATATGCAGTTGCAACGTACTTGACAATACTTTTGGGAGGAGTTTACGCACCTGTGGCACTAGCTTTTGTTCTACTTTTTTTCCCTTGTTATGTAACTGTCATCGCGTTCTGTTATCTTAGTATTTATTGTAGAAAAAATATTCAAGTGGGAAATCTAAACGACGCATTTCTAAAAAGGCAAAAACGATTGGCTAACACAGTTGCATGGATCCTTTTGATTCTGGTATTGACCTACTTTCCTGGCCTTCTTTTTGGAGGTGTTTTGGTTGCAAATGGAGTAAATAATCTGCCCTTTCGGCCTTATTACATCACTTTTGTCCAATTAAATGGAGCTTTGAATCCTTTGTTAAACTTTAGTCGTATCAAAATGATGCGCAAAGCAATAAGAGACTTGTTTAGATGCCATCCGCAATTACAGTCATCATCACCTTGCGAACAATAACAACAACAGCAACAGCGATAGCACCACCTGTCACAACAATTCCCACACAACAGCAACCACAGCAATAACCCACTCCAGCGGCAACAGCATTGACCAAGTTAATAGCAATAACATAAAATTATGAGGAAAACGATAAGTGTAGCAATTTTATCAACGATCCCATTCAATACCAACCTTGTTACAAGGTTACTTAGGTTCCGCACTTGTTAATGAGCAATGAAGCGCCAACATGCCCTGTTGCAATTCTGTAGTTAAAAAGCCATTATGGGTTGGAAAATAATTTAGTGCTCATTATTAAAAGATGGTTTGGAATCAATAAAATATTCATCAAAACGTGATGGTTCAGTGTCTTTATGTAGTAGGTCATATTGATATTTTTTGGTAACTGTACACGCAACTGGCACTAAACTACCCAGACTTCTACAGTTGGGTTAGGACAAGCTCGCAGCTCGTAACCTGAGATCAGGCTCTATTTTTCGTTTCGCTTTGTAAATAACATTCCGGCGCCGTTAGAGAGAATGTATGAGAACCGCTCAGATTGGGCCTGATCTCAGGTTACGCAACTCGCGAGTGAGTTGCGTGACAGAAATACTATAAGACTTTGTATGGGAAATTCTTCGATCTTTATTTAGGGCATTAAAATAGAAATAAAATACATCAAAGCTTCCTACCTTGTCTGCTTGTCTTGTTTGTGGTATGTTCTTAGCATTTCTAGCCGTTTCAGCGCGATTTCAGCGAGTTTTAGTTTTACCGTTGATCGATCTCGCTCAAATCCGGCGCTGAAACGGCCAGAAATGTTAAGAACATACCACAAACAAGACAAGTAGACAAAGTAGGAAGTTTTGATGTATTTTTATTTCTATTTTAATGCCCTAAATAACGATCGATAAATTTTCCATACAAACTCTTATAATATTTCTGTTACGCAACTCACTCGCGATGGAAAATTTGTAATTAATTAAAAGTGTTTGCTCCTGGTTTGCAGAATGTGTCGGCAGTTGAGTTCTTCCATTTGCAATTATGTTCCAATTAACCAAGGTCTCATGCTCATCATGCATCAATACAGGAATACATGACTATTTTAAAAACACTTTCAACATTGTTGGCAAATCTCAATGTTTAAAATGATAAAAACGGATGCAAGGGAAACAAAGAACAGTTCGATTCTTATTTTTACAATTTTAGCAACTGGATAACTCAGTACTGAAATTGAGTGATGAGTAAACCCATCCCATCCCATCCCATCAGGGTCATCTTTATTTAATGTTCTCCAATTCTTTTGTATTCAAGGCCAAATCTAAAAGGAATATTATTTGGAATCTGATTTAATTAGATTAAGAAGCTCTCCTACGAAAGAATTACTGCACAATATCTACCGCTGTATAACCGTGAATAATTTCACTCCCCCTTTTTTAAAAATTTTGAACTAGTCACTAGTTCCAGACTGTCAGTAAATAGTGCTGTCACTTTGCTCGTTTCTTACAATTTCTCGTAAAAATGTGAAAACAAAAGACTTTATTATTTCAAATCTTTCAGGCTAAAAAATGTTGTAACCTTAGGCAAAGAACTATCTTCAGAGTCAGGGAGCCACTGGAGAGACTGGCGGAATTTTTTGAAAATGGGACGTGTCGTGATAAAATGGGTTCGTTGAATCGTTGGATTCGTTGAATGCGGCCTTTAACAAACCCAGTTATAAACTCGGAATCCGAAGTTACAAGTTCGTATTTTGTACTTTAATTTTGAACCATGGCTGTGCAAAACTCAAGCCAGTTTTCCTACGAAGCGTTCCTGATTGCTGACCTTCCAATTGATGTTCAACAACAGATCGATACTAATAACATTGGCAACTACGTTTTCGTTACTCTGAGTTTTATTCTTTGGCTTTTTTGTCATTTGATCTAAATACGTCTTTTTTATAATTGTGGCACGAACCAAAAAAAAATTGAGATTGAAGCTGCTGAATGCGCACTTCGATGAATTTGCAGTAAGTTTTGGATTATATCTCTTTAATGCTTTCGAGGCAGACCGTAGAGGAGAAAAGCCCCATCTTCAGTGGTTACACAAACCTAAGAAATGTCCAGGTAGGGGGGAGGAGAACAATTCACTTGTATTTGACTGGATCATGAACAAATTCACCCTGGGTCTACAATGAAAATATTCTTGAAATACAAAAAATTCTCAAAGTGAAATAAAGCAAAACAGGTTTTTCCTAAAATATTTTCTGCTTCGAAGGCGCAAAGATGATTGCGGTGTTACCGGAAAAAAAAAGAAGAATGAAAGAAGGAAGAAAAAACAAGTGCATCAAAAAAATCTTTAATTGATGGTAAATTCTATTAGTAATCTTAATGTAAATCTAAATGGGTAGTATGTTTATTGGCAATTCTGATTTTTAGTAAGATCAATTAAGCGTGTTCCCCTTTTCTTTATTTCTGCTTTGCAGCAGTAATTTAAAAAAGTAACAAATCCATTAAATGCTTTGAAGCAATTACGTATACTCTTAAATGAAATGCGGAAGACAGCCAATTGATTCAATGCCAAAAGTAAATTTTTGAGGTAATAACTGTGACTTTACAAGAACAAGCATCCCCAACGCTTTTTTAATCCAGAAAACAAAGAATATGCCCATTGCACGCAAAGAAAAATTGATTATTTTATGATGAAATACTGGATAGAGAGAGAGCTAGGATTTTGTAGCGAAAGCAATTGGGTCGATACGTGTTAACGAATTTCTTGCTCCGCAATAAATGACGAAGAAAATAGTGAAAAACTGTTTCCGGCAGGTGTTTTAATATTAAGTAAACCATTCCCGTTATTATCCATTTAAAATTCCTTCCAATTAAACTAATTAACCAATTTCTCTTAATGTATCAGTCAAGAAATACTTAACTAAAAATACTTTGAACAATGTTGCTAACTCTCAATGTTTGCTCTGTACAAGAATATATAAGAGACATCGAGAATACTTAGTATCAGTTAATTTCAGCCTGATATCAGTTACTTGAGGGACAGCCATAATTCATGAAAACCAAGTAAAGAACCGTTATAAGGAAACATATCTTGAGTCAAGGTAAAACCCTGATGTCCTTTTTAATAGATAGAAATTTGCATTATTCTTTTTTTGGTCTACAGCAAAATTATAAAAATTAATATTATTTTAAACCGATATGCTAGATAAGAGGGTCTGTCAGAGAGAAGTGAGCATGTCATGAAAATCTACTTTTCCAGTATAGCAATGAATGTCGTCGACTTCGTTCAAATTCTTAATGTCTGAAGTAATATCTAGTTGGAGACCATAAGTAAAAAGTACTAACTATTTGTGCCTTTCTTAAAATTTATGGCAAAAAAATGTAAGAAAACAGACCTTTGCTCAAACATGGCTTGAGTGTTCCCTTTAACTGATCGGAGGGAAAAGAAGACCTAATCAAAACAGGAATTTCTAACTAGTAATAGTTGACACTACAGCTTCCCCCGTTTTGTATATTGTCGGTCAATAGTATTCTTGCTTCCGCTGGTTGTGCAGCTCTTTGAAATATACCGATTCATAATGGAGATTTTCACACATATTCCATACAACAGGAGAGATAAATACAGGAAACTCAAGGTTCCATGCACAGTTTCAGCTAGATTTACACAGCTTTGATCAAAACATTCTCAGTTTCGAGAATAGTTTGTTCTAAACCATAAGAAAAGATTTAATTAGAAGTTCAATTTTTCGCTATTTCTCTTTACCTTTTTACATTCAGTTCATTTTATTTGCCGGAAAGTAAGCCTTAGAAATTAAAAGGACGTTTGATCGATTCACGCTAGCGCATTCTAGTCTTATTTGAAACTTTATAACGGAAGGACATCTGTGAGCAGGAGAGTGTCTTTTGGTCCATAACTTTCAAAACAACTGCTCCACAGAATGTCACTGCGTAACGCAAAAGAGTATCGAAGTATGACTGCACAATAAATGTCACAAAATCTACCTGAGCGGTCCCTTCGGGATTTTATGTCTTTACGTCATCCTAACCATTTCGTACATGCGGGCGCAAACAATAGAAACGTCATCATTACCTACCGATTCCTCGCGGCCCCAGTTCGAGCAAATCGAGATTCTTTCTAGTATACTGACTGTATATTTGAACTGTAAGTATTGTCCTTCATATACGCGAGAGTTACTAGGGTTTTACTAGGGTGCCTCCAATCCCTGCGGGGGCAATTAATACCCATTTTTACCCGCGCGGAATCAAAGTTCTACGTTCTACTTCAGTTTTCTTTGGTTTTCCCTTTTTTTTAACTTGAGGATAAAATTATGGCTAGGCAAAACTCCAGCCAGTTTCCCTACAAGGCGTATATTCGACACCACATACTTGACATTGGCAACTACGTTTTCTGTCGTCTACGTTTTATTCTGGCTTTTTTTCATAGACTTTAATACGCTTGTTATCATTGCTGTGTCAATAAATGCGCCATTCAACTCACCCATATATATATGTCACTTACTGAATATCCCTGAATTGAAGTCCCCCGTTCTTTTTTCAAATTTCAGGATAGAATAATGGCGGCGCAGAACTCCAGTCAGTATCCCTACGAAGCTTGCCTGATTGCTGGCCTTTCAAGTGATGTTCAACACCACATACTTAACATTGGCAACTACGTTTTCCGTCCCCTGAATTTTATTCTGGCTTTTTTGGCATTTGTCTTTAATACGCTTGTTATTACAGCTGTGGCACGAACCAAATCTCTTCAATATCCCGCGATGGTTATGATGTGCAGTTTGGCAGTAACTGATATAATATTCCCACTGTATTCTATGTACAGATACATAGAAACATTCACACACGAACACATGTGTGCAGCAACATCGCATGAGCATCCACTGTATTTTGCCATCGGTGGTCTTTGTACCTTGGCAACGCTTGGTAACCTGGCTGTTATCAGTAGAGATCGCTATTTGGCAGTCCGAAGACCCGTGTGGTATCGTAATCACATGACAATATCACGTGCTTTTAAGGCCATATGTTTAGCGTGGCTTATCAGTATGGCATATGCAGTTGCAACGTACTTGTCAATACTTTTGGGAGGAGTTTACGCACCTGTGGCACTATCTTTTGTTCTACTTTTTTTCCCTTTTTATGTAATTGTCATCGCGTTCTGTTATCTTAGTATTTATTGTAGAAAAATTATTCAAGTGGGAAATCTAAACGACGCATTTCTAAAAAGGCAAAAACGATTGGCTAACACAGTTGCTTGGATCCTTTTGATTCTGGTATTGACCTACTTTCCTGGCCTTCTTTTTGGAGCTGTTTTGGTTGCAAATGGAGTAAATAATCTGCCCTTTCGGCCTTATTACATCACTTTTGTCCAATTAAATGGAGCTTTGAATCCTTTGTTAAACTTCAGTCGTATTAAAAAGATGCGCAAAGCAATAAGAGACTTGTTTAGATGCCATCCGCAATTACAGTCATCATCACTTGCCAACAATAACAACACCAGCAATGAACGATAGCATTACCTATCACAACAATTCCCATACAACAGCAACCACAGCAATAACCCACACCAGCAGCAACAATAACATTGACCCAGTAATAGTAATGACATATGAGAAAAACGATTAAATAAAAAGTGCAGCAATTTTATCAACGATCCCATTTAATACCAACCTTGTTACAAGATTACTTAGGTTGCACACTTGTTAATGAGCAATGAAACGCCAACATGCCCTATTGTAATTCTGCAATTATAAAAAGCCATTATGGGCTGGATAATAATTCAATTTAGTGCTCATTATTGAAAGATGGTTTGTAATCAATAAAATATTGATGAAAACGTGATGGTTCACTTTCTTTATGTAGTAGGTCATATATTTTTTGGTAACTGTACACGCAACTGGCACTAAACTACCCAGACTTCGACAGTAGGGTTAGGACAAGCCCGCGAGTGAGTTGGGTAACAGAAATATTAAAACAGTTTGTATGGAAAATTTATCGATCGAGCGAGTTTTAGTTCTACCGTTACTCTCGCTAAAGTCGGTCTGAAAAGGCCTGAAATGCTAAAAACATACCACAAACAAGACAAGCAGACAAGCTAGGAAGTTTTGATGTATTTTTATTTCTATTTTCATGCCCTAAGAAACGATCTATAAATTTTCCATACAAAGTCTTATAATATTTCTGTTACACAACCGGCACTCGCAAACTTGGGGTACCTGTGAGGAAATATGGCAAATTTGCAAATTTGCTCCTGGTTTGCAGAATGTGTCGGCAGTTGAGTTCTCCCATTTGCAATTGATAATGTTCCAATTAAGCAAGATCTCATGCTCATCAAGTATCAATCCAGGGATACATGACTATTTTAAAAACACTTTCAACATTGTTAGCAAATCTAAATAATGTTCAAAATGATAAAAAAGGATGCGAGGCAAAGAAAGAACAGTTCGATTCTTATTTTTACAACAGCAACTGCATAACTTAGTACTGAAATTGAGTGATGAGTAAACCCATCCCATCCCATGTCGTCTTTATTTAATATTTGCCAATTCTTTTGTATTCAAGGTCAAATTTAAAATGACGTTTCAGTTGTTATTGACTGGACCATCTCTCAGGGTCTACAGTGAAAATATTCTACAAATATACAAAATTCTCAAAGTAAAATAAACAGTTTTTTCCTAAAAATATTCTCTGCGTCAAAAGCGCGAAGGTGATTGCCGTGTTACCCCCCCCCCAAAAAAAAAGGGAAAGAAAGAAAAATAAATTGGTTTATTGGTAATTCTGATTTTTAATAAGATCAATTGAACGCGTTTCCCTTTTCTTTATTTTTGCTTTGCGGCAGTACCTTGGAAAAAATGACAAATCCATTAAATTCTTGGAAGCAATTACGTATACTCGTAAAGGAAATGCGGAAAGCAGCAAAAAAATGTAAATTTGTGGTGATAAATGTGTCTTTAACACAAGCGTCCTTAACGCTTTTTGTATCCAGAAAACCGCAAAGAATATACTGTTTGCACGGAAAGAAAAATTGATTATTTTATGATGAAATACTGGATAGAGAAAGAGCTAGGATTTAGTAGTGAAAGCTATTGGGATTCTTGTTAACGAATTTCTGCTGCCCAATAAATTACGAAGAGATTAGTGAAAAACTGTTGGCAGAATGTGTCGGCAGGTGTTTTAATGTTAACCATTCCCATCATTATCTATTCAAAAAACCTTTCAATTTACCAATTTATCTAAATGGATCAGTCCAGCAATACTTAACTAAAGACGCTTTCAACATTGTTGCCAACTGTCAATGTTTGCTCTGTACAAGAATATATAAGAGACATCGAGAATACTTAGTATCAGTTGATATCAGCCTGATATCAGTTACTTGAGGGAAAGCCATAATGCGGTGTGAACACTAACTGAAGAACAGTTATAAGGAAACATATCCCGAGTCACGGTAAAACCCTGATACCCTTTTTAATAAATAAATTTGCATTGTTCTTTTTTGGTCTACGGAGAAGTAAGCATGTCATGAAAATCTACTTTTGCCGGCATAGCAATGAATGTCGCCTTCACTCAAATTCTTAATTTTTGAAGTAATATCCACAATAGTTAAAGACTATTAGTAAATAGTGCTAACTAATTATTCGTTTCTTAGAATTTATTGCCAAAAAATGTAAGAAAAAAAGACTCACCTTTGCTCAAACATGGCTTGAGCCGGTTACCAGCAACTGATCCTAGGCAAAAGACTAATGAACACAGGACGTTCTTCTTTTCTTCGTTCTTTGTTTTTAACTTCAGGATAGAATCATGGCGGCGCAGAACTCCAGTCAGTATCCCTACGAAGCTTGCCTGATTGCTGGCCTTTCAAGTGATGTTCAACACCACATACTTAACATTGGCAACTACGTTTTCCGTCCCCTGAATTTTATTTTGGCTTTTTTGGCATTTGTCTTCAATACGCTTGTTATCATAGCTGTGGCACGAACCAAATCTCTTCAGTATCCCGCGATGGTTATGATGTGCAGTTTGGCAGTAACTGACATAATATTCCCACTGTATTCTTTGTACAGATACATAGAAACATTCACACACGAACACATGTGTGCAGCAACATCGCATGAGCACCCATTGTATTTTGCCATCAGTGGTCTTTGTACCTTGGCAACGCTTGGTAACCTGACTGTTATCAGTAGAGACCGCTATTTGGCAGTCCGAAGACCCGTGTGGTATCGTAATCACATGAAAATATCACGTTCTTTTAAGAAAGTATGCTTACCTTGGCTTATCAGTGTAGTATATGCAGTTTTAACGTACTTTTCAAAACCTTCGAGCGGAGTTTACACACCTATGGCACCAGTTTTCCTTCTAGTTCTTTTCCCTTTTTATTTATCTGTCATCACGTTCTGTTATCTTAGTATTTATTGTAGAAAAAATATTCAAGTGGGAAATCTAAACGAAGCCCTTCTAAAAAGGGAAAAACGACTAGCTAACACAGTTGCTTGGATCCTTTTGATTCTGGTATTGACCTACTTTCCTGGCCTTCTCTTTGGAGCTGTCTTGGTTGCAAAAGGAGTAAATAATCTGCCCTTTCGGCCTTTTTACGTCATTTTTATGCAATTGAATGGAGTTTTGAATCCTTTGTTGAACTTCAGTCGTATTAAAAAGATGCGCAAAGCAATAAGAGACTTGTTTAGATGCCATCTGCAATTACAGTCATCATCACCTTGCGAACAATAACAACAACAGCAACAGCGATAGCACCACCTGTCACAACAAATCCGAGATAACATCAACCACTGCAATAATCCACACCAGCGGCAACAATTACACTGACCCAGTAATAGCAATGACATATGAGAAAAACGATTAAACAAAAAGTGCAGCAATTTTATTAACGATCCCATTTAATACTAACCTTGAAGTTTACAAGATTACTTAGGGCAAATAATGACTTAGGACTTATTAAACGCAATCTGTGGAACTGTCCAAACTCAGTTAAAGAAACCGCGTGAACTACACCTGTGGGACCAAAGTCTGTAATCCATTGGACTTGCACCAGAAAGATAAAGCGGCTGTAATGTGATGAGCGGCTTGCTTTGTTACGGGAAATTACGATCGAACAGCGAGGGTGGTGGCAGTTGGCTGCATAATTTAAAGTTGGACACACTTGAAAAAAAGGAGAAGATACGCAAGGCTGTCCGTTATGAGATGTGCCATGATTTCCAGGATTCCAAATAGAGAAAGGAGAACACGAGGAAGCCATAACTTATTTTATTGTACCAAAAGGACACAAGGATATTTTTAGATTTTCTTTCTTTCCAGGGACAATAACCGTGGAATGGAACAAACTCCCGATAGAAACTCTTACCAGTCAATCTCTTTCTATACTATTTTCAATGTAAACTCCTTAAGGTTATCTTTTGCTAGCAGTTTATATTAGTTTTTATTATCATCTTTTATGTTTTTAGTGTTTTGTGTCTCGTGGATGTTGCCGACAAAACCATGTTTAGATTTAGATTTAGGTTGCGCACTTGCAAATAATCAATGGAACGCCAACATGTCGAATTGCAATCCTGTGGTTAAATAGCCATCATGGGCTGGAAAATAATTAAAATTTAGCGTTCATAGTTATTGAAAGATGTTTTGTAATTAATAAAATATTCATCACGACGTGCACGTTCTGTATGAACGAAATACGAAGTACGTCATTTTTTTTTTGGGAACGGTACAGGGCACTAAACTATCCAGATTTCGACGGTAGGGTTAGAACAGGTTTGCGAACAACATTTTCTTGGTAGAAAACCTGGAATTCTGAGAAAACTTATGGTATTGAGAGATACGAACTCTGGTCAAACGGATAGTGAAACTTGACAAACAGGCTTGGTCAGCTGTTGCGACTTTGGGTCACTTAATTGAAGCCAAGGAACCAACTATTTACAGTTTTTATCCGTTTGGAGTGTTTGTGGTATGGTAGAACTTTGTATTCCAAACAAACGTATGTTTTCTTGTTTCTCTATTTTAATGGTTTTTGCCAGGAAAATGTCGTCAAAAGATTGAGAGCAACATTAAAATTTCAAGTTAGGGGCCGACCATTTAACTCTTGAAGGGGGGGGGGGGGGGGGTTTTTTTGGTCATCAAAAACATCAAAAATTTTTTTTTTAGCAATTGGGGGGGGAGGATTTTTTTTTCCCTTTTTTTCCCATAAATTTTCTTTTCTTTTTTTGTTGAATGCGTTTTTTTTTTTTCCCCCAAGCGCTTGCGGGATTTTTTTTTTTCAAATTTCCAAACCCCCCCCCCCCCCCCCCCCCCCACCCACACCTCACCCCCCTAGGACATTAATGAAAGCGGACGGTACAAAGTTCAGAAAGCAAAAACTGTTAATTTGACTTTTTTTTTTTCTTTTTTTTTTTTTTTTCATTTACGGCAGTACGGGTTTTTTTTTTTAAACATACCGGGCGTCTTTTTCTTTTTTGTTTTTTTTTTTTTTTTTTGTTTGTTTTTTTTTTATTGTAGTTTTTATTATATTATTTTATTTTTTTTTTTTTTTGTTTTTTTTTTTGTGAGTAATAGAAGAAAAAAAAGAAGGAAAAAATATAAGGAAGTATAAGGTTTGTGGGGAGGGGGGGGGGGTGGTGGGGGGGGGGGGGGGGGGGGGGGGGGGGGGTATTTCTGGTCATCAAGAACATCAAGAATTTTCTTTCTAGCAATCTGGTGGGCAGGATATTTTTTTCCCTTTTTTTCCCATAAACTTTCTATTACATTTGTGCTGCATGCAGTTTTTTTGCTTCCGACAAGCGCTTGCAGGAATTTTTTTTTCCAAATTATCCAACCCCTCCCCCCCGCCCACCTCAAGAGTTAAATGGTCGGCCCCTTAATGGCAAAACAAACAAACAATAATTTTGAAAGAGCCTGACGTGATAGAAACAAAAATAAAATAAGGAAAATTGTTTGGAAAAGCTCAATTGCCTTAGGTGATATAGCATCTTGAAATGTGCTTATATATGGTTCTAAAAATAGTAACAAAATTGAGGGAAATTCAAAAATCAAAGCCTAATAACTCTTTAATCAATAGAGTTCTAAAGTGTGTCGTCATAAAATTACAGGATTTGTCAGGATATTCTAAATGAACAACATCCAAGTGTCCTACTTGCCAAAAACTAGCATTGTGGGGCAAATTGTCTTTTAGGCATTAGCCCAGTTATGCTCTGAAGACTGTTGGAATATGTAATATCTATGTTAAGTACCTTAACGTGCAAGCTCAGTCAGTGTCTTTAAGGACTTTCGCATTACATTTGGTAATCGTAGCATTGGCAACTGGCACCAAACTACATAGCTACCCACATTTCGACAATACACGCGGGTTAATTCTCCGGAGGAATTTTCGACAGTTGAATTGTATTTAGAGATCCTAACTCACAAAACGATTGTTAAAATTGTCGAGAAAAGTATTTTTTAAGTACATGACTATTCTTGCAAATGCCCTAGAGGTCAACAAAAAGTACTTCGATCGTCGATTTTCATATACTTCCAATTTCATATATTCTCCGCCAAAGTCAATTTTTGCTGATTATAACCGAACAAAGTCCCGACAGACTTTCTGAAAGTTCTTAGTCGAAATCAGTTCCTGCTGACCGAGGACCGGAGATTATAAAATCAGAGAGCTGCGGCGAAGCCAAACAGAATTAGTAAACTGAATTTTCTTTTTAAACTATCACATATGAAATTAGCCTCTAGGGAAACAGCCCACCTTCCGCGACGCCACCATCTAAATTGTATCCCTTCGAAATGACGTCTGAGAGACGAGCGCAGAAATTCCATACTGGCCTCTAATTGGTTAAAAATTAACTTCAACCAATCAAAAGGACCACTCAGATCTGGTTGGTGTCACGTCATCAGTATGGCATCAGTATGCGCTCGTTTCTCAGACGTCATTTCGAAGGGATATAATTCAGTTAGTGGCGACGTGGAATGTCAACTGTTTGTCCAGGCTAACAATCATGAAATCAAAGTTCGCATTAACTCTAGGTTATCTTAACCTAAGCTTTGGACAACCCGGCCACATTAGATAAGGACTGATATAAATGATGATGGCTAGAGGCAACTGGTGACTTAACAATGTATAAAGAGGAACACGCACACTGCTGTTGGAGATAATAATCCGCCACGTGAAAACTATATTCATCGCTGTTTATAAAACTGTTAACATTACGATCGCATAACATATGTCGTCTTTAAATGCAAATTAACTGCTCCTAAATAAAAACGCTTTTTTTCCCTTTCAAACCCTCCCTGTGTCAAAGGCTCAAATACGATCGCCGTGTTAAAAAATAAATAAATAAATAAATAAATAAATAAATAAATAAACCGAAAAGAATTCCGCCTTACGACCACATACGCCTGACCACGTCGTTACTACCATTATTCAATCGACCCAAAAGTCAAAAAAAAAAAAAAAAAAAAAAAAAAAAAAAAAAAAAAACCTGGGTCGCTTTAAATGATTTTGAAGAACCCGTCATTTAAAACAAGAGATTATTTTAAGAGGTCTTTAAGTTTTCATTATGTTTGTTTTTCTTGAGTCCCTATTAAATTTTTTTGGAGCAATTACGCTTGAACAAAATGCTGAAGACTGCTGAATGGTTGTAAGAAATGTAAATGAAAGTTTTTCTATTGATGACAGTTAAAACTGAGGAAATTGCAGTCTTTCAGAATAAGCTGCTCCTTCTCTTTATCCGGAGAACATAAATATGTCCATAGCACGAAACAAAAAATCGGTTAGTAATAAACTGTCGGGACAGATAGGGAAAGAGCAGCATTTTGTGAAAGCAATTCCGACGAGGGTAAACAAATTTCTTTCTGCAGAATTGGGAGGAGAAAGGGGAAAATTTAATAAGGCACATGTCGGTCAGTGTTTTCATATTAAAAGAAAAACATTTCCATTAATCACTTTCCTTTGTAATAAGCTTCTCCGTTAATGCTTCGTTAATGTATCCGGTCGAAAACTACTTAACTAAAATCACTTCTTTCAACATTATTGTTTACCCTTAATGATTGAAATGACATGAAAGGATATAAGAGAAACCAACAACAGCTGCCTAAGTGTTGAAAAGGTTCGATTCACTTTTCAATATTCCTTATTCTAAGTTTTTCCTCGAACAGGGTCGATTTATCATCATATCAACAGCTGAGAAGAATCTTATGGAGCAAATCGATACAGAATCAAGGTAACTTGTCGTCTTTTGATTTATTTACATTACCTGTAGTGTTTTCCGCAAACAACGGCCAAAGAAAGTTCTTTCTTTCTTTCTCCTTTTTTTTCTTTTTCCATTGGCAAGCTGAATACGCAATCTCTTGAATATAATGAACGCAATTTCCTAGCTTTACACGTAAAAAAAAGAATTTTTTCTTTTTTTAACTTGTGGTTGCTACCAATACCTTTCATTGAATTGGTTTGTTTCCTTCTCCCTTCCTTTCTTCAATATTTCATTCATCTGATGTGATATCAGTGTTGCCGTCAATTTTTCATTTTGCTTTTTTTTAATTTCTCAGTTTTTGAAGTAAGTTCAGCGCTAGACCGCGAGTACAATCAAACCCCGTGTAATACCAACCCTGAGGGGTCTACAGAAAGTCTCCGCATTAATGAAGTGTCTTTATCAAGCGGGTTGAATGTGGAGAAAACGTAAGGGTTTTCTTTCCCAAGGGACAAAGCAAACTGTCTGACGTAATAATGAGGTGCCCGTATAGCGTGGTTTGACTGTAACTACATGTACTTGAGAACCCTGAGAACGACGGCATGGGAAAACATATGAAAAATTAAAAAAAAAAATGAAAAATGTGAAAAATGAACTCACTCAATATTTTTATTTTAATTTGTCTCAAACTTGGCGTGACTATTACCAGTTATAACCCTAAGTAAACACTCGATCGTTAATAATATTTAGTATCGCGGGTGGCAATCGAAGAAACCATTTCACCCATAGCCGGGATGTTACTAACGATTCTTTTCAACTTCAGGATATAACTATGATGGCTGCACAAAACTCCAGCCAGTTTGCTTACCAAGAGTGCCTGATTACTGAGCTTCCAACAGAGGTTCAACACCAGATACTAAATATTGGTAGCTACGTTTTTCGACCTCTATGCTTTATTCTGGCATTTTTGTCACTTGTCTTAAATACGCTTGTTATCATAGTTGTGGCTCGAAACAGATCCCTTCAACATCCTTCGATGGTTATGATTTGCAGTTTGGCAGTCACTGACGTAATATTTTCTCTGTATTCCATGTACAGATACATAGAAATATTCACACACGAACAAATGTGTCCAAAATCGCACCCACTCCATTCTGCCTTCAGTGCTCTTTGTAGCCATGCAACGCTTGGTAATCTGGCAGTGATCAGTAGAGATCGCTATATGGCAGTCCGAACTCCTTGGTGGTATCGTAACCACGCGACAAAGCCACGTGCTTTTAAGAAATTATGTATACCGTGGTTGATCAGCGTCGTAACAGCAGTGGTAGTTTACTTCTCAAGAACTTTGGGAGGCGTTTACAAATCGTTGGCACAAACGTTAACTCTTGTTCATTTTGCTTTTTGTGTAATTTTCATAATATTCTGTTATCTTAGCATTTATACCCGAAAACCTATTGAAGTACAAAATGCAAACGATTCCCTTTTCAAGAAGGAAAAAAGATTAACTAACACAGTTGCTTGGGTCCTTCTGATTTTGCTATTGACCTACTTTCCAGCGCTTCTTTTCCCAATGGTTTTGTTCGTAAAAGGATTCAAGAATTTTTTGCCATTTCGACCTTATTACATCATTTTTATCCAATTAAATGGAGCTTTAAATCCACTGTTAAACTTTGGCCGTTCTAAAAAGATGCGCAAAGCTATAAGAGACTTATTTAAATGCATTCTGCAAATAAAGCCGTTATCATATGTCAATAACAACAATGACAACAACAACAATTCAAATAACAACAACAACAATAATAATAGTAATAATGGTAACAATTAGTAATAATTTATCCTGACTATTCTATAAAACACTAATGACTCGTAAAAATGCAAGCTCATAATAATCAATCCAGTCATGAAACTGCGATCCATCCAGCGGCACATACCCACTAGCCTACTACTAGGAAGCAGCCCCCTGGGGGGCTGCGTAATTTGAAACTGATGTGCTTATCGCCCCCTAACGCCACGAATGTGTAAAAGACTTGAATGGGCAAATAACAAATAACAAAACCAGCGGTTGCCATCATGAATGTAACCACAAGTTTCTTCTTGTTAGATCTATCTTCTTCTGTACTATTTGCAGAACATATCGTGTTGGTAAAGTATAAACCTTTTATCAATGATCCGTAGCAATACAAAAATATTGCCAGCGGAATATAAGAAGTGAATATGCAAAATCTAATCATTAAAACTCTACTTGTTTGATTTATGTGAAAGCTCCACACACCAACGCAGGTGGAGAATGTCTCGCTCCATTCTTGAATAAAAAATTCTGGAGAGCAGAGCAGAATACTTGCGATCCATATGATAATGATGGCCTTCTTAACGTTGTCTTCCTTCAAACGAAGCCCTGTTCTAAATGGTTTCAATAAAGCATGATACCTTTCAATGGCAAGTAGGGTTAGAGTAAATGATGTAGCCGCTACTGAAATGTAAGTGAGAACAAGAAACTTGCAAGTGAAGTTTCCAAAACCGTTAGATTGGTGGCTGAGCAAATGAGAATAGAAGTAGAGTGGAGCCAACAAAATGGTGACACAGTCACTAACAGCCAGATTTGCCAAGAGGTAATTTGTTGTCGTGTGCATTGCTCTCGTTTTATGTACAATTCGGATGACCAACACATTCCCAATGAATCCAATGATATAAAATGGAATAGAAGTCAGAGAAAGAGCAAAGGAAAATCTTTCAATATCAAGGTCCATGTTGGTTTAGCTATATTTTTCTCCTATCTGTTGTTAGCTTCGCAAACAGCTTCATAAAATATAGAAGCACTGAGAACTGACAAATTTCACCTGCCAGTTTCTTGGTTTTTGGCCAATAAGCTTCTTTCGATATATTAAAGTTCAACTTTACGGAGAACAAAAGTTCAAGTGATTTCTTTAATTTAAATTGCTTTTGTCCTCTAGGCCCGATAATGAATTCAAAGCGACTGTGAATACTCGAAGGAGTATTTGAACGCGTTGCCTATTATCTGACTTCAAATCTTAGTTTAGAGATAACTGCACCTTACTAAGGGACGGACCATTAGAAAAGTTATGGGGGGGGTGGAGGGGAATTTTTGAGCCGCAGGAATTTTTTTTCGTTAGCATATTCCTTGTATGAATTTTTTTTAGGCCGTAGCATGAATATTTTTTTAGGGTTAATTGGCGTGCACGAATTTTTTTTCATTTAATTTTGCCTTGCGCGAATATTTTTTTTGTGCTTCGCCCGCCCCCCCCATAAGTTTTCTAATGGTCCGTCCCTAAGTAAACACAAAAGCTGTTTTTCGCAAGTATAAAATTACAAATTAGCCAAGACAATTTATGTCAGTGACAATACAAAAGTAAGACTTTTCTCGCGAAATTAAAAGTCAGGTTTAATGCGAAAAAATTCCAAAAAGAGAGTTTCCGCGGTGTTTTCTTTAAAACTAATGTCAGTGTGAATGCATTAGAGAGAAAAGTACCCCCGACTAAAGTCAAGCACGGACTATTTTCACACTTACGCGAAAAGGTTCATCTGTTTGGAGAGCAAATTAAAGGGAGTGCATGCTTTCATTTCTAACGCCTCGGCCAAACGTCGAGTTTTCACGAGACGAATCAAAGTCTAATTTGGGTCGACATATTAAGTTAAGATCGTCTTTTGGGACATACGTCGAACCTAAGGACGGGTCGAACCCGAGAGAGAACTGAATCAGTTCAGTAGAAAAATTTCTCCCGAACGAGGCTTAATTTACATTTTCATACAATTTTTTTAATTTCTTACTTAAGTTCGTCGTATGTGAAGAGATCGACTTTTCGGTTCCGGTGGTCGATCTTCAGATGTTCTATCCGTGTGAGGCAGACGGATAGAACGTCAGACGAACTTAAGTTACGACTATAGGTCTTGCCCGAGCGGCCGGAATCGATACCATGACCGGCCTCTACAATCCACCCATAAACCGACTGAGTAAGCGCAATTGCGTTACTAAAACTATTAGAAAATTATATATTCAGCTTTGCGTTGAAATTTTGTCTGGTAAAACTACCAGAAAAGAAGGGAACGAGAGGAAACATCCACAGGGAGGTTTACACTCTGACATTGACATGTCATTCCTTTGGCAATACAACACACCCGCAGATTTATGATTAAGGTTTCGATCAGGAATAAGTTATTAACTTTTGAAGAGGGAGCACTTGCAAGCTGATTGTTTAAGTTTCTCATTTGAATATTTCATGGCAAGCATCAGTTATCAACTCTTATTGGGTGGAGAAAAGCGACGGCTTAAAATACTTCTGCGTTCGCAGGCCAAGGAAGCTGATATACTTTTATGTTCCGACAATAACTAATGCCGTGCGCTCAAAACAAGGGAAAACGTTATTAGTCGGTCAGCAGCTGGCTGTTTGCATCATCCATGAAGGCGAATGTACTTGCGGATGCTCAGAACTCAATTGAGGAAGCACGTTTGCCTCATGCTCCTATAGGAAGTATTGACATGGTGACTCTTGGTGGATAGAGTGCTTCGTTGCTTTTTTTGGTGAGCACTAAAATTTATTCGGTTGCGTTGGTACCCCATAATGCGACGCAGATCAACTTTATCAGCAGCTCCGACTATTCACAATGAACAGTAATTCATTTGGCATAGAGTTAAATGCTCGTAGTGAAAAGCGCTATTTCAGTCCTACCGTGGCCGCTATACTTATGTCCGAGTTTAATTTATTTGTCTTAATACAGTACACGGCCAGAATTGTAATTGTTTCAAGTACTACTGGAGTCATAATCAAGATTAAAATTTTCCACCCTATCATACTTAACTTTAGCTTAATTACCCCTGGAAAGTTTCCCTTTGACTTTGAAGAAAGAAGGTTTTCATATAAAAAGTCTTTGCATGTACTGGTTTAATTCAGTAGAGAAGGTCCCTCGAAGACAATGAGTTCCCGAGATTATCACGGCGATAAGTAATGTTCCGTGTTATTTGAATAATAACATGTCCCTCAGGTCGGGATGGGTTAAAAATAGTTCTCCAACAGGGAAGTGGTCTTACACGTAGGTACTAAAACATACAAGGAATGACCTACAATGAGCTACACTGATGAGCTACAATGAACTACAATGAGCTATAATATGAGCTACAATGACCCACCCGGCAATGACCGAACGTGGGGACCTAAAAAATAAGGTGAGGGTCGCTGCAATGAGCAAAAATGAAGATAAGAAAAAGACAGAAAAAGATCAGGGGGACAGGTTTGTCAAGGGGCGGTAGTAGATGTGTGTTTTAACGTAACACTTTTGGAGGGTGCACTTTTAGTCTACTGCATGAAATGATGAAATTTGATTGACAACAGCCAAGTTTAATTTTGAGTCATTCTCCACTTTATAAAGGGTATTGACTTTCCTGAGCGACATGGCGGAGTTTTGATTGGTTCAAGCAACAGATTTGCTCAAGAGCAAGCGCAGATTAGAATTTGCACTGCAGAGATAATGCATAAGTAATGAGTTATACTCCTTTTTCCTGCGTGATTTTCGCGAATTCAGATGGCTAGAATTCTTTTTTGGAGTGATTCTTTAATACAGGGCCGAATGTCACCTAAAAACGCGATCACAATGATTATTTTGACTGAAAACCTGCCTTTTCTTTACTTACCCGAGATCGGGCGCTATTTTTGTTTTGCCTAATTCAAAATGTGCTTAGCAAGTTTCCTCCGAAAACATGAGCCCAGTTTCACGTCCAAGCATGACGTTTGTGCCACGTTAAAGGTAAAAAAATCTGGGGCCACATGACACACATCACTGTCTGCCATTTTTGAAGCCCTTTGTAGGACATTGTAGTTGTATTTAGTAGCTTATAGTAGCGTATTGTAGGTCCTTGTAGGTCATTGTAGCTCATTGCAGGTCATTTTAGGTCTTTCGTTGTAGCTCATTGTGGGTCATTCCTTATTTTAGTAACTACGTGGTCTTACAGGGACCGCGGAGCAAGGTTAAAAGTGGGAGGGCTGACAATTGAAAATAATTTTTTCATATTGAAAATCGAAAAAAGGAATAAAGATTCATTGCAAGAAAAGACGCGATTACAATGTTAGTATAGAAAATACTACACTGGAGTGATCTGAAAAATTTCTAACTATGGCCGTTCACTGTTCAAGTAATGTAATTCTTCTCGCCATCGAATATTTCATTGATTCGAAAAGAGAAAGACAAAGTATAAAACTGTTATCATTTCAAAACAACTATTCACCTTTGTTTGGCTTGAAAAAGCTAGTAATTTTCTTCATTTCGTCTGATAAAAACTCTGTCGGAGCTGGAAGTACAAAACACACTGCCGAACGAAGCGAAGAGGTGGCCAAGGCATGGCGTTTGATCAAGGGGCAAGTCGGCCCCAGGGCACAATTACCGCGAAAATTAAAGCAAAGGAGCCCCACAAAATGCCTGGCCTTTGAAATTCAAGAAAATACAGAGAATATAGCGGAATATAGTTAATATAGTTATAGTTAATAATTTTTTCTTTTTAGTGCAAAAAGTAGGGGCGGGGGCGCAAAAAAGTGGTGGGGCCGCGGCCCTACCAGCCCCTCCCCCTCCGCGGTCCCTGTCTTACACAGTCAATTTGCTCGTATCAGGTGTGAAAATGAAAAAAAAAAAGTCAATAAAAAGAAAAAATAAATAAAAACTGTCTCAATGTTAATTAATTGATTTGCTTTCCCACTGACGGCATTGACATCATCTGCTGTTTTTCAAACATAATGCGGTGTACATTAGTGGACGTGGGATGAATCTGAAAGGAATAATCTCTAGAATCTAGCGCGAGAAAGAACAAACCAACCATGCACGCCCACATATTTCAAAGGCAGCGGTGTTTTCCTAATTAGGCCTGGTTACATAGCAATAAACATGGCGGACGACTTCTTCATTTTGGGAACGCTGTTTGTTATTCTTTTACCACAAGCCTCGATATCTAGCATTCAACATGAAAAATTATGGAAACGCTACTGCATCTCGCAAGGAAACTACTCTGTTTGCAGAAACAGTTACACACAATTAAACCAGCAGATTTGTAGGATAACAGACGTGTTGAATTTTGAAAACTGGGGCTTCATACCCATAAGCGTTTTGCGGCAGACTTTTCCTGTTGACCAAGAAACGAAAAACTTTGTTAGACAAGTTCATAACGTGGTGTTTTCTACAGTCCAACCTGTTCCGTTTAGACATAAACCTTCCCTTGTAGCGATCTCAAGCCACGTGCTAACAGAAATACTCGATTTGAGGACAGCTGCGGCTTCCGAATCGTCAGCTTTTTTGGAATTTGTAGCAGGAAACCTGATCCTGCCAAACTCTGCTTTATTATCCCACAGATACGGAGGACATCAGGTAGGGAGCCACTATCAATGCACTTAACCCTTTAAGCCCCAATATCCACGTACAATTTCTCTAAACTGATCTCCATACATTTCCATAAAGAATGTGTTTTTTATCAAATTTTGATAAAAAATCAAGGCATTATTTCTTTGGTGATCATTTTATTAATTCTCATAACATAATCTCTTGACAATGTATGGATATCGTTAGGAGAAAATCGATGTTGGTCACCATTGGGACTTAAAGGGTTAAGTGTACAACTGAACCCCACACAGCATCCTGTTTTTCATGACGTTACTTTAGCAAGGTTAAGTTTCTATGAGAATCTGTGCATCAAGTGGTGTTCATATTAAGGGGGTTAAATTGAAGAAAATGTTAGGGCTTTCCTCAAGGATGAGTATTTCAAACTGTCCTTAATAACACCTGGTGTCCATATTACACAGGCATCTGCAAAATAGGGTTCAACTGTGCATGTGGATGACGTGTGTACTTTAAGTTACTTCCATACCACATTAATGTGTTGCTACATGTATAGGGCTACAATCAGCAACCAGAAGACTAGACTAGAAAACAACCAGCCAGTGAGATGGAGTGTCACGCCTCCCTAAATTAAACTGACATCTAGAATCAGGGACCTTGCAGGGGGGGGGGTTGGGGGGTCTTTAGCCCCCCCCCCCCCCACTTTTTTGGATGGTAAAATAGCTTTATTTTTAATTTGGTTATGCAGATCTGTCACTTACCACACAAACAAAACACACCACAACAGAGAAAAGACAAACTTTGTCTTGTAGTTGTTGCCAATGAGTTTGTAGCTCCTAATGACAATTGGAAAGGCAACTTTGGCACCTTCAGAGAATCCAACTTAAAAATATTCAGGTGACACTCACCCATCGCATGTGTTGGGTTTAGCTTCAAAGTCTATTCATTTAAATTTCAGTCTAATGTGGGGGCTAGGTTGTAACTTGTTGTTTTAAGTGCCGATGTAATAATTACAAATTTATATCACTATTGGCAGGTTTAGATGCATTTATAGCCATTTCAGAAGACTTAAATTTGAAATTTTCCCAGGGTAGCATGCCCCACTAGTTTGCTCATGCTTACGTGTTTACATTAGCCTCCCACTTGAAAATCGGCTCCGCGTGCCCTGAGAATTGGTCCTCGCCATTTTGTAGACACCTTCTTCGATTTTCTACAGGGTGGACACCTCTTTGTAAATATGGTCGAAACTGTGTACATCCTAAAGAGAGCTGGCACTTAAGATCTTGACACTTAAAATGAACTATGAAAAGAAACTATTTCCTATATCAATGTACATGTTTGCTTTATTACCTCAAATTAAGATTATCTCATTTGTTCTTAGTTTGGTGAATGGGCAGATCAACTTGGGGATGGACGGGCAGTACTGCTGGGAGAGTACATCAACAGGTAATAAATAATGTGAGGGTTATGTTTTCTTACAGGCTACATTTGAAGACTAATTTTAAAGTTCCAGTTAGCTCCCTATTTACAGTGAATACTAGCATTGCAAAAACTGGTAAATACAGCTGTTGGCTGTGCCTAATAAAGTGCCATAAAACAGCTAGCATCGAAGGGTATGTATACTTGGCATCAGCTGTGCAGAGCAAACAGTTATCACACATCTAGTTTGGAGCTGGTATTTTCTAAATACATTGCAATCATCATGAAATTTCATGGCAGTTGCTGCCAACAATCTTAAGACCTCGCTTACTGCTTGAAGCTATGCCATGGTAAATCCTCAATACAAAGGTAAAACCAAGCTGTCTGTGGCTGCCAATGACTGGCTGATAATGCTGTATAATAATTAACATTATTATCATAGAGATCAAATGTCAACCTTTACCATGTAACAATAATTACTGCACACAGTGTCATATTTTTATTGTTTAGAAAAGGTGAGAAGTGGGAACTTCAGTTGAAGGGCTCTGGCAAAACTCCATACTCAAGGTATTGTTACAGCTAGCTAGCTTTATACTTTAAAAATTAACTGCTGATAACATAATTTTTTGGGTCGTGTTCATTTACTAGTGAAGCGAAAATAATTGTAAGCTGTGTGCAAAGTTATAAGAAATTCTACTGACTGGGGTTTGCAAAACTTAACAAATTCAAAAATATTTAAGGCTTGTTTCAAATCATCCATGTTGCCAATTGACAATGATCCATTTCTCACTTTAAACCTAATAAATGTCATGTCTTATAAATATAACAGTCTTTGTTTGCTTAATACCTGTGATGGGTCTTTAATAACATCTAATTAAATGGTTAGTAATGATACATAACCTATTAGACTGTGTTCAGCCACCTTAATACTTGTTACTAGCTGATATCATCATTATAGGAATTACATTTTTTATGGACCCTCTCTAAAAGGGAGGCTTACAACATTGATCTTATGATATGAAGTTGTTACTTTGATGCATTAATTAAGCTTTAGTTGCCTTTCCAGTACCTCTACACAAGTTTGAATGGTTCAATTTTTTTTGTTTCATTCAGGCATGGTGATGGTCGAGCAGTCTTAAGATCATCTGTGCGGGAGTTCCTTGCTAGCGAGGCCATGTTCCATTTGGGTGTGCCCACAAGTAGAGCAGCCAGCATTGTTGTGAGTGAGGATAGAGTATGGAGAGATCAGTTTTATGATGGACACCCCATGCGAGAGAAAGGTAACAGTATTTCATAAAGTCATATTTATAATAGGAATGTTAAATTTTGTAATAATATCATTATAGAGGAATAAAATATATTAGAACTGTGGGGTGAAAAATCATTAATTGGGCTTCATTTTTTTAAATTTTCTCTTTCAATCAAAGTAATCCTGCCAATAGAATAGTCTCTCCTAACTATACTGAAAAACAATTATCGCTTAAAAATTTTGCCAAAGAAAATTATTGTTCCAGAAAGAAATACTGTCATATGTCGCAAATAGTATGACTTAAAAATATCATATTTCTTAAAAATTTTGCCGAAGGAAATTATCGTTCAAGAAAGAAATACTGTCATATCAGAAATAGTATGTCTTGAAGACAGCAATCCATAATTTGACAATCATGTTATGTAAGGTAATTGTGATAATTATGTGATACGTAGTACAGACTGTACATGAGATGAAATATTCTAAACCAAGACTACTCCCTCCTACATGTACCTTCTCCCCCTTGTTTCAGTTGTTCAACATGGCCGTAGCTTGAAAGGGGCGGTGGAAACAAAGAAAACAGATTAGTGATCATTTTTTTCTGTAACACGCAGCTGCAATTGTTCTACGTTTGGCAAAATCTTGGTTTAGGATTGGCTCTCTTGAAATTTTGGCATCCAATGGCGAAGAAGACCTTCTGAGGTGAAGTTCCATTTGATTTCTTAGTTATTTGAAGAATTTACGACAAGGCTTCCAGTTGCTTTTCTTGCTTTTAGTGTTAACGGTTATTTCTTGAATGCGACACTCTTATAGTCGTCCTTTTTTGTTTTCTTTAAGAAAAGTTGTGGACTTTGTAATCGAGGAACACTTTCCAGAGTTATCGAAGAAGACTGATAAATACCTGGTAAGAGAGCAATAAAGTCTTACATGCGACCGCTTGGCTGGATGTGTGCGATTAGTATAGGTAATACCATGATTTGTAGTGATATTGGGTGTAAATACCACAGTGATATTTCAAAATTGTTACATGTAATTTCACGAGCCGAGAGGCGAGTGAAATGTGAGACAATTTCGAACCAGCAAAAGGTTTTCAAATTAAGCTGAAATACCACTGCTCTAAGCCAATCAAATTGCAGAAATTTCTTATGTAATAGTATAATAGGTTGAACATCTCCACAACAGGCCACCTTGGGGACAGAAGGAAGTGGCTGTTGTATTAGAGGTGGCCGTTTTAGAGAATTAGGGAGCTTAAGCAACAACCACGGCGATGGCTACGAAAACGTCCCTTAAAAAGTGTAGTTGCGCTGTGTCAAACTTTATCGCGCGGATTCTAGCTCATTCAACTCGTCAAATCTTGGCAGTTTTTTCTGGAGTTGAGTTCTAAAAGAATGTATCGAAGTTCAGAAAAAGAAGAAGAAAGTCGATGCCTTGTGTTCACGATCTCCACAAAACGTGAAATTAGGTATTTTCATGTCGGAGTCGTGCAACGACGGTAAAGAAATGTACTAAAAAGCGTGTTTCACGTGTAGAGTTGTTGTTTTTGCTAATCAAAACCTCTTGCTGTTATGCCGTTCTCGTTGACGTCGCCGTCGTCGTTGCTTAAGCTCCCTAATATGTAAGAGTCAATGTATGGACTGGGGTACGCCAGAAAGAAACTGCTCGTCGCAGAGAGGTGGCCGTTAGTAGAGTTTCGACCGTAGTTCCGTGGGAAATTGAGCAGCCAAGAAGTTCTTTAGGTTCTGTTTTCCCTTCTTTTTTCTTCGAATTAAGTAGCCAGTGGTCATGCTCATAGAAGCCGGGGCAAATGCCTGGTCCCTGGCCCTTTGTGACAGCCCTGACATGCACATGGTACAGGCTTATTGCAATTATCTGGTTGATAGGAATTCTTTTCGAAAGTGGTGTCGATGACGGCAGAACTTATCGCCAAGTGGCAGGGAGTTGGGTTTGCTCATGGTGAGTTACAGCTGTTAGAAAAGGTTCAGCCACCTTAGAAACCGGTCGTTTGGATACAAAGTCGTTTCAATGCGAACTCAAGCAGTGAAATTGCACAAAACTTCGACTTGTTTCTAAACGACTTTGTATCGAAACGACCGGTAACTTTCTATTTTTTTCTACGTTGGGTTTCCTTCGTTTCCCTGGTTTCTTCTGAGGCACACAGAAGCAAGGGCCGTGCGATGGCTGATTGCGTTATAATTTCGTGATTTGCCAGGTTTACTTAAGTAAAACTCGCTCTCCACCTTATCATCATCCGTAAGATTGCTTGCATTCAATTCTGAGCTTAGCAAGCCCTCAGAACGGATAACTTTTCAAAACTGTGGGTGTTCCTCAAGCAGAAAAAAATTAACGTATTAGCCATTTTAGAAACTCTTAATATGAAAAAAAATAGTGACGACTAGCACCCTGTACTGCATTGACGCCCTGCACGAAAGATTTTGTTTGAATGTTTCGGGAATTCATGTGTTTTGTTTTTATTTCTTGTAGGTGTCTGTAACACGGATAATTTCAGCCTCCTATCCATCACAATAGACTATGGCCCGTTTGGATTCATGGACGAGTTTAATCCAGGTATACTCACGTACATAGATGAGCCACTGTTGAAAGACTTTCCTCAACCCACCCTACTTCCCTTATGATACAGTCAACTATTTCTTTATAACGGACACTTGGTTAAAACGGACGCGGAGTTGGTCCCTACCGTTCTTTACCCCTTTTAGTTGCTCTCTACATGACAGGTAACTCGCTAAAACAGACATTAATTTTAGAGGTGGTCCCTTCCGTTCTTTACCCCTTTTAGTTGACTCTCTGTATGACAGGTCCCTGCCTTTCTTTACTCCTTCTGACGGACACCTTTAGTTGCTTCCTGCCTTTCTTTACTCCATTTATTTGACTCTCTATGTTAAGGACATCTCTTTATTTCGGACACAGTGCTGGTTCCCAAATATCTCCGTTTTATAGCTAAAGTTTTCTTTAGAAAGGTGACGCCCGTTCTTTCTTTCCACTCCCGGTTACTGGTCTCTGAATCCTTGCTTGTGTAGGAGAAACATCTTTACAAAACCAAACCATGTGATCGACAAACACGTTGCGTTATGCGTTGTCATTATCAATGAGCTTTTTCTTGCTACAGTTTCTTTATTACCTTACTTCCATCGTCACCGTGTCTGCGAGCCGAGGTTTCTCTCTGGCATACGAAGTCGTTTGCGTGGCTTATACGTCGCCCAGCAACTATATTTTTGTTGTAAGGTTTACAGTTAGTCGTCTTGTTAACAAATTTGTCCTTAAGAATTAATCAGTCGGCTTTATCCACGGCAGATTTCGTTCCCAACACATCAGACGAGGAGCGAAGATACAGTTACAAGAATCAACCCAATGTTGGATTTTTTAATTTGGAGAAATTACTTCAAGCCATGAAGCCATTACTAGAAGATTACAGCGCGTAAGCTGGATAAGCTTTGATTCTATTATTGGTTTAGAAAACCTATCTTGTGTTTATTATAGTGATCAATGTGCTTCTTGTCTGTTAAGTGTCCCTTCTACCTTTTTTTTGTAGGATAAGATCGACTTAAGGTACCAACCCGCCCTGCCCTGTCCCTCTTCTTCCCTCCCTTTTAGTTAAGGGGTCGCTTATTTTTACTGTTGTTTTGTCTTTAAGCATACGCTCCGGCCGTCTTCAATCGAATATTCTAGAGCGATTGTGAAAGTAAAAACCTACTGTGGGTTAAACGGGAACACGACTCCTCATTAGTTCATTATCCGCCCTCAAAAGTCTGCGAATTCATTAGCAGATACCCGACCCATATATAAAATTCAGCTTAGTAACTAGTAGATCATTTGGTCATCATACATGTAGCTTTTTTCTTTAACTATCACTTTATATATTTTGCAGTGGAGAGAAAATCCTCCTAAGTTACGTGGACTTTTATAATGAAAGGTAATCATAGTTTTATTTCTTTATGAATTAAAAATTCTCTTGACATTTGGGAGTTTTAGCATCGACGACTGCGACGGCTGCGAAAACGTCACTTTTAAAATGAATTCGCGGTGTTCAAACTTTGTCGCGTTTATACCAATTTGCTGAAAATGTCTAATGTTTGCAAATTTCCCTGGAGTTGATTTCTTGGCGAGCGCATTCAAGTTAAGAAAGAGAAATAAAATTTCCTCGTCGCTTGTTTACGTCCTCCATAAAATGTGAAATTAGGCATTTTCACGTCCTAGTCGTGCAGTAACGGCAGAGAAATGTACAAAAAAGCGTGATGCACGTGCAAACTTGTTGTTTTTTGCTCAATAAACCCATTGCCGTTTTGACGTTCTCGTTGCCGTCGCCGTCGTCGTGGCTAAAACTCCCTATAGGGAGCTTAACCACGAGACAACACGGCAACGAGAACGGCAAAAAAGCAATATGTTTTGATTGGCAAAACAACAACTTTGCACGTACATCTCGCTTTTGACAACCACGACAGCCGTTTCCTTTTTCTTTTTGTGATCTTAGATACAGTCCTTTAAAATTCAACTCCTGAAAATATCGCCAACATTTGAAAAATAAAAATATATGCGATAAGGGCGATGAAGCTTGAAGCAGCGCGAATTCACTTTTTGGGTGACGTTTTCGCTACCGTTGCCGTCGTCGTTGCTTAAGCTCCCTAAAATTGACCCAGCTGCATGGTGGCTATAAAAGGTTGGCCTGATGTTGAAAGGTTCATAGCTGTCACGAGTATATGGCTGTTTTAGATCACTTCTGTGCTAAAGTTGTCACTTTGTGCCTTTACCCAAACACAAAATGCTCCTATAGAGTTACGGAGAAGGTAACAAATAAATTTCATCAGGGAATACTAACCATAATAAATTTTCTGGTGATTTTTTCCAGGCAAACTGCCTTAAAACTTGAAAAAGTTGCCCCATTCTTGCCATGCCTTGCAACAGACTACAGTAAACAGTTTGAAATAACAAAACTAGGCCATCATTTTTTTGGAATTCAATTGATGCGAAAAGAAGTTTTACCTTTATAGAAAGCGAGCAAATAGCGTCCCTTTAATAGGAAATTGTTATTGACAAACTAACTCGCCTTCAGTTGTTAGGAATGTTCACTTTTGGTACTTTAGCCTAATGATAGGCAATTTTCTGAAATAAAAACTTGTTTTTCAGATTTTTGGACATATTTCGTCAAAAATTGGGTCTGCTTAATGTTGTGGACAGCGATGAAAAACTCATTCATTCTTTGCTGTGGGTAAGGATTACCAGTCTGTTATACTAAAGGAATTAATAAGTTCTAAACGCAGCGATACTTTTAAAACCTATTCGAGTCATTAGTACAAAGCTAGTGCGGCAGCTGTTGCCTCTGCCTAATACGGCGGGATACAGGGTGAAAAATATGGTTGTGTAAAGACATTGCCTGCGTCTCCCGGCGAGAAAAGCTCCGGCTATTTCTACACGCCAGCAATCGGGTTGATTGTCTTGTGCGGGCAAGCATATATACTGGAGGACAATGTTAAATGCCGATACCTGATAACTGTCTTTGACTAAGGACGGATAGTGTATTGAGTTTACACAAAAATACTTTAGATAATTGATCATGGATTGAGATTTTCAGGAATGCTGAGATGCCAATTAAATGTTCCGATGAACTTCTGTTTCAGTTAATGTCGACCAGTCGTGCGGACTTCACAATGACTTTCCGCGAGTTAAGTGAAATATCCATACAAGACTTGATAGCAAACCGCCTTCCCTTTGAATCGTGGGCGCTGAAGAATCTAAGCAAACACAAGAACTGGAGAGGCTGGTTAGCCCGTTATTCTGAAAGACTGCAATTGTAAGAAAAAGCGTTTCATTTACTTCTTATCATCTCTGGTGAATTTTTTGCTAGTAATGTTATATACAAAATCCTAGGAACTAAAGAAAGAAAGACTGAAAGAATCCTCCTCGGTCCTGTTTGAAAAGTTTTGAATACGGGCTTAGCCTCTGTCGAAACGGAAAGTAGCAATATTCTGTAATGTACAGTACAAGCCATGGGAATTGCAGCATTTACACGCGTGTAAATTGCGTGTAACATGGCGGATTTACAAGCAAAATACGCGCGTGTAAATTTTTTAATCGCATTTGAACAATTACACGCAGCTTAGATTACACGCAAGATGCGTGTACGTCGTAGGAAATTTTCCTCCCTTACTTTTACACGCAAGTTGCGTGTATTTTTTTAATTGCAGATCTAAAAGAATCGTAAGATGCTGATCGTTCACAATCGCTTCACATTTAATTGTGCACTTAACAAACGAAAGCCTATCACTAGAACTTTACATATCCGGTATATTTTAATTTTTCTTATCGCCCCGGTGACCAGGATCCCATACCCTGTAGCAAGCAACTGCCTTCCTCGGCTTCTATCGCAGAGTTTTTTTGCTACAATTAAGAACGCTTTTCCTTTCGAAAATAGAAGCTCCGCTTCGTTTGTGAGCGCATTTGAAGTATTAAATATAAAAAGGGAATACTAATCACAATTAAAGAATTAAAATACCAGTTTTAGGTCTGTAGGTTTTGCTGACTGGTTTGTGGTGATGAACTAAATCGGCGCCAAAATCGTTTTTAAACTAAACTTGCCGGTGAAAACGTCGCAGCACGAGTACATGAAAGTTGCTCACTCCAGGTTATGGGTAGAGTGCGAGCATCCTCTCTTTTTCTTCAGATTTAGTAAGGAGAGTGCACGCGCGCGCAAGCGTTGAGCGGCGTAAGCCCCGCGCGTGGTCATTTGCGTGTCTCGGGCGTTTTGCTCGACGGACCAAAAAAAAGAGAGACTGCTCGTAGTCTAGGTTATGGGCTTCTGCTTCGGTATATAAATGATATTTTGCAAAATGAAGGTTTGGATTTTCTTCGATTTTTCTGTTTGAACTTTTTTTACTGGTTGAGGTAAAGGTTTTTCAAAATAGTGGATACATATCGCTGAATAGCATTTCGTTAACAGTTACCAAATTGAAGCAGTTTCCTCGTGGACAATCTCAATCTTACAGATACGTTAACCACGCGCGCGTGAAAGTGAGGTGATGGAGGCTTCCTTTAATTGCACTCATTTTGCTTTATCACAAATCGTCGTCGCGCGGGATTTTGATGCAGAAAGAAATACTAACTAACAGGCCAAAATGCGCAAAGCTCATTATTATTGAAATTCTCTCTTTCTTTTAATTAGAAATGGTGATCTGGATTCTGAAAACAAGAGGAGACAACGGATGTTAAGTACGCTGCAGTCATTATTTTTATCCTTTCAATAAGCTTCTTTAGACGGATTAAAAGTCAGCTTTTATAGCGAGGCTTATAGGACCCAAGCATTGAAAATCCATTTTTTTTTATCCTTTTGACCTCACCATGAAGTTGAATATCGAAAGAACTGTCTCTATCTCATATCGTTTTAGCAAACTTCGAATACTGAAAACTTAACTTCAAAAAGCTAAGGCTGCACTGGAAGGCAGTGAAGTTAGTTAATGCAATTGATCTCATGGCTTGCTGTTGAAAATGTCTTTAACGTGGCCCATTCTCATTTCAGAAATAAATCCTCGTTATGTACTGCGTAACTGGATGGCTCAATCAGCAATACAAAAAGCAGAGGAGAATGATTTTTCAGAGGTCAGAAATTTTTGAGTTTTTTTTGTGTGTATGTTTGTTACAATTTGTCTTTCAATGAACAAGTTGAACCCTTGTCGAGGCCCAGAGGATAAAAGCAAGTAACTGAAAGGCTCAAAACATTACTTTCTTACTAACTTTACTTTGGCTAACCGCTTATACCAGATGTGTCGCGGGGAGATGAAGTTTTCTTCCCCCAGTCGGGCTGTCTTTGACGCCCCTAATCCTGGTCTTGCTTGCGCGTCCTTTTGTTTGAGTTATAACTTTACAGCCTAGTGTTGTATGCTTGCTTTACAAGTTGGCTGGTGTTAATTCTTGTTATTTGCCCGATCCATTTAAAGTTCCCTGTTTTTCTATGTGGTGTTGTACCGATTCCGATCCTACCATTTCTCTGATCTAATAATTTCTGATCTTGTCCCGCCGAGTCTTGTTGGCGGCCCTGCGCACTGCGCAGCTTCGCAAGTGTCGATTTTGCGCTTTAGTCTTTTTGTGACTATATGTTGTTTTTCTGTATTTTCAAGCCATGATTGTAACTTAATTTAATACACTTTTTTTCTGGAAGGTTCGGCTGCTTCTTGAAGTTTTAACGAGACCTTTTAATAAACAAGTAAGTTGTAGAATAAATTACTTCAGACGACTTTTCTTTGTGGGCTGCAGTGAAACGTTAATCCACCACCCTCAAGAAATTCTTAATCGTTCATCAACTTTAAGGAGAGTGAGACCTAGACCAAACGTCGAAATTTTCATGAGACGAACCGGCAAACTTAGTGAGTTAAGTTAATGAAAAGTTCGACGTCTGGCTCAGTTGAGTTCGTCTGAATGAGTTTGGATCGTCCATCACGTCCTATCCGTCTACTTCAGACATATAGAACGCCTGAAGATCGTCTCCTGGACAAACGTCGATCTTTACAGGCGATGAACTAAACTGATGAATTAAAATTTTGTATGGTACTGTATATTTAGCCTCGTTCAAGAGAAAATTTATTACTGAACGCCCACAGGCCGGCTGAAACTGCTTTTTGATCTGATTCAATTGATTGGTTCGACGCGTCCTAAGTTCGACGTCTGACCCATCAGACGATCTTCACTTAATCTACGTTTGGCCTAGGCCTGATATTCTTTACAATTCAGGTTCGCATGAGGCACAGTCATTTGAGAATTGTCTTTCATTCCAGGTGGTCGCTGAAGATCGTGGGTACTCGTCCCAGCCCCCGCTCTGGGCATCTCAGCTTCGAGTCAGCTGCTCGTCGTAATGGCTGTAGTCACGTAGGTAGGCAGGTAGAGGGATATTTAGTTCGATAAATACATATTGTATTAATTCATAGAATTATCGATTTAAAAAAATGAAAATTTTGAAAGCTAAACTATTTTGTCGTGAACTTATTTGATCATACGCGAGGCGATAATAATGACGATAAAGTTAAAGCAACAGAATTCTTTATGGGTGCACTAACTATTTCTGGGTAAGAAAAAAAAGAAAAAGAAAAAATAATTATCGCGGTTAAGGGAAAAAAATGGTTGTTGCGATGAAAAAACTGTCTAACGTGAAGAGAATTGCTCTCGGCAGTATCCGTGAAGAACTACAGCCGAGTCGGCTGGACCAGGGAGCACAGGGGCGGGGAAGGGGGGCGGAGGGCGTGACGCGGGGGATCATCATCATCATCATCATCATCATCATCATCATCATCCTCTTTATTTAAAAAAATAAATCATCTTCTGCTATAGGCTATAAGAAGGTTTACCGCAGAAAATGGTTAGGAGCTATTTTATTTGGCTGCGAGAGTATATTTTGACCGTTTTGACCAGGGTATGGACTCCCAAGATAGTGTCTTATCAGTAGGATCTATCTTTAAATTAAGAGGAAAGGAAGGACTAAAAGTTATGGCTGAAACTGCTAACCTCATGAAATTTTGTATTGAAAATATGCTGAACCCTTTCCTGTGGTGTCGCTTTAATTTAAGTACCATTTTCCCCTTTTCACTTTCGAGGGTGCCTCAAATAGAGTGCTGCCTTTAGATAGCAGTCCCTAACTGTGGTGCTACAAATAGCGTCATTAAAAAAGTACCGCTGATAAGGTTTTGTTTGAATTGTGACACCATAGGATTTCGTCCAATGACTCGAACTGAAAGAGTTGAAACCGCATTTCATGTTTTTATAACTAGCTCCCGTAATACTTGAAAATCTAAAACTCTACGCCTTTGCCACGAACACTTCGGTCTCTTAAAGTGTGACAAAACTGGATCATGAGCGTTCGCTTATTTCTGTTAAAAGAAAAATTACAGCCTTCCAATGTCAAATTTAGATTTGTCAGGGTTTTATTGTAGAAAGGAACAAAAATGGAAGCGCTGACCCCGACGTGATTTGAACACGCAGCCTTCTGATCTGGAGTCAGACGCGCTACCATTGCGCCACGGAGTCAACTATGTCGATATTTGTCATACTGTAACAGTTTTAGTACTTGCCATGTTTTAATCAATGGCTATAAACACACGACATTGTGAAACGGCATGTTTGTAACGAGGTCTTACTGTCTTGTCAAGTGTGACCTAACTGAGGAGATAGCTTTCACTTATTTTAACACTACCACCACCAACAAAAGAAGACAAAGTAAAACTAAATTAAAGGGAAAAGTAATTGATAAGTGAAAATAAATAATAGGGATAACAAAGATGAAGTTGACCCCGACATGATTTGAACACCCAGCCTTCTGGGCCGTGTTGTTCAAAGCAGGTTTAAGATAACCCAGCGTCAGTGCCAATTTTGAATTCAGATATAGAACCTTAAAAAGCAAATTCAGTTTAATTCTTTTGGTCTGCAATTAGGTGATTGAATGCTCTAAAAAGTAAAGGGAAAATTATCCGAGAAAATGCTTTTAAACAAAAAAAAAAATTCCCGTATTAAAATTTAACGCCGGGTTAGAGCTAATCGGTCTTCGAACAACTGGGCGCTGATCTGGAGTCAGTCAGAAGCCCCACCATTGCGCCACGGAGTCAAACATATAATTGTGTTTAGTATATTTCAAAATATTAAGTAGTTGATAATTGCTAAAGAAAGTTAGCTTAACATCAGTTCTATAGTTTATTCTCTTTTGCTTTACCACTAATCGAATGTTTGTATTGCCTGTGAATCCAAAAAAGAATTCTTTGTAAAGATAACAATGAACAGCACGACGCCAAAAATTGTCACTAATTGTTACCTTGCTCATTTTTAACAATCCTTAATGGCCTCAGGAAAAGCCATTAAGGTTTTCGTTTCAACGTCCTTTGAAAAAGCCCGTTATTACTGAATAGCAGTCATAATTTCAGAGTTTAGATCATTATTTTCTTGCTTAAAGAACCTTTTGTATTTCCCATTGTCATTTTTTTAGCTCATCCTCTGTGTAAGAAGTATGTAAAACTCACGGTCGATGTAGAACAAAGGAAACAAAGAAGTTAATACAATGGTACCTAATAAAACGAAAGGTACAAAACAAAGAAAAAGTTCACTGGTTCTTACACCGAGGTGAATTCCATTTTTTTTGTGCAAAGTGGCCAAATTCGTTCTCAGGCTCTCTACTTTTCCTCTCTTTACTCGACAACAAAGAGAGCCTGGGAACGAGGATACAAAGAAGTATGGCTTAAAGGACCGCCGTAAAGTGCTGAAAGTGTCATCTTTCTCCTCCCTTACATGAAATTTAGCTCTTTTTGTTTGCTTGTTTTACCAGTTAAATGAGTTTAATTTCTTTTTTTGTCGATCAAACAGTGGATGAAGGTTAATTTTTATGCTTGCAACAAGTGAAATGAAACAAATACAAAACGCCGTAATTGAAAATGTCCGCAATACAAAGGTAATCGGAAGCAGTCAACTAAACCAAGCAAGCCTAATTAAATTCATCTCTTCACTCCTTTTTGTTCAATCATTAGAGCCGGTTCTCCCGGAAATTTATTGAGATTTGCATGAAACGAAAAGTTCTTAAATCAACGACGATTCTCTCGTTAAATCATTTCACTTACTCGCAAATACCCCATTTATCATGACGGAATACCAAGCATCAGATGTTATTTTTGCAGTGGTATCGATCCCGTTTATTCTCATTGGAATGGTAGGAAACATCCTCGTGATTTACATTGTTTGTTCGACGCGATCAATGCATTCGACGACCAATTTCTTGCTGGTAAATTTAGCGATCAGTGATTTCCTAACTCTTCTCCTGTGGCCTTTTCACTGGCAAATCTGGTGGCGACAAAGACCACTAACTGGAGAAATAGGAAACTTTCTCTGCAAGACATTTACCGGTGTATCAATATTGGACATCCTGTACGTTGTTTCAAGTTTCACCCTGACGGCACTTGCTATTGAAAGATATCATGCTATTATGAAGCCGTTTCGCACAGGTTTAAGACTTTCTGAAGAGAACATTAAGCTCGTGATAGGAGTCATATGGCTCTCCAGCATTTTGGTATGTCTACCTGATTTTATCTTGCGCGAATTGGACAGCAATTTGCTGCAATGCGTCGGACCTTGGACGATCCACATGAATTTTGAAAGCAGGGTTTATGTAATATGCAATCTAGTCGTGACAGTTTATCTACCATTTTTGATCCTTGTTTTTTGTTACAGCTCTTTGGTAAAAGGACTTTGTTTCACAAACACAGTATGTTCGGAATTAACCCAGCAAAACCAAGGCGAAGATGAGAAGAAGCATTTGCTAATAACTTTCGTTTCTGTTACAGCAGGCTTTTTTGTTTGTTTCATTCCACTTGGAAGTCATTTTATGTACTTAGCTTGCAAAGAGCGAAACGCAGAGTACGATTCAAACGAGGTAGCCTATCAAATTCTCTGGTTTTTACTCATGGCTACATCTGCCATGAATCCAATTCTGTATGCTTTCCGCAGTACAAACTTTAGAAATGGTTTTCGAAGTATCATTTTCTATTACTTTTCATTTATTGTGCGTTCTTAGCTTAGAACGATTAGCACTCAGAATGCCTTATAGGAGGCACTGTGTACTGACGACCTTGCCTTCTTTTCGCAGAGGTATTCGAAAACAGATTTCAAGTCGTAATGCCTTTATGTTTTTTAGTTCATTGAGAATGGTTGGCTGGTTATATCTGAGAGAAAATAATACATTTAGTGATAAGCCACTTGTCCAATACTGCTGTTATATTAACTATCTGTCTTTCTATTCTGTATAATAAACGAACTGCTTTAATTGAGTGCTCTGTCTTTTATAATCTTCGCTTTTTAGAGGGTGACCAAAACAAAATGCGTTAAATGTGTAAGAATGCGATTTTCACGAACGTAACTTCTGTTCTTTTTAAATTTTTTTTTTTCATCTGTAAGTAGCAGGTGTTGTGCTGCTTTTGTCTTTGTGTAATTTCATCTGATCTTGACCACTTTATTAAATCTGAGAGTTAATACAAATATATTCTTTTTTTATCGCCTTTTGGTCGAAGCTTCTTTCGTTTTAAACGTTATTTTTTTTTTGCATCATTGTGCGAAACAGTAAAATAAAAAAGCAGCTGAATAAATTTTAAATTAATTGGAATCGTTTGTATTTCATTAACACAGAACACAAAACAAGAAAAACTACCTTTTTTAAGGCGCTTGTTTTACAAAATTCTCAAAATTTGGTAAACTTCCCCGCGTTTTTTAACTTCGTAGATGTTTTTTTTATTTATTCGTTTCTTTTTTAAGCAGCAAGTGAAACTCATTGAAACACACAGAATGCAGTCTACTCAAATGAAAATTGATGTGTACATCTCAGCTGTTTTGTCGATAATGTAAATTACATATGACAAAACTCTCGTAATACATATCCTTCATTTGATCGTAATCTGGCTTTTTTTTAAATGGAACTGAGTATCTTATTAATTTTGTATGACAATTTTTTACCAGTTCAGAAAAGGGGAAAAGGTTAGAAAGAAGGAAAGAAAGAAAGTAAAGAAAGCAAACAAGCAAAAAACTAAAACATAAATTTGGTTTCATCAAGAATTTTAAATCCTGCAAATGGATACGTGTTCTGAATGTGCGTCAGTGTACAATAAATAGACTTATTACTTCAGTAAAATTTGAAAGTGAGCACTACACTGACGGTATGAATTTGAATGGCACTTGACTTGTGCCATACCTCTTGAACTTGGAAGACACCTCAAAACTAGAAGAAAAATGTCACAAAGATCATATTAATTTGCTTTACAATAAAAAAAGGAATAAATAATAACTGAAAATGGTGAAACTGCAATAGGCGTAAAAGTCTCTTGGCCCTTAATAATAACACCACAAATCAAATTCGAATGAAGATTCATTGTAACCGACGTGCTTGGTACTTGAAATAAAATGCGTGGTACGAAGAGTGTGCATACAAACGGCGTGGGTTGAAACTAAAACAGTAAAAGAGCAAACATGAAGTTACAAGTTGCGACTAAGGTAAATCAGAATAAAGAAATAACAAAACTACAAAAACGAGGACTGTGAAGTACACTTACATTATTTCGGCCAGAGAAAACTGCTGTGAAGCGGACTACGAATAACGCGAAGAGACTTGCAAGAAACTAAAAACAGAACTGCTCTAGGGTTGATTTGCACTGTCGCGTAATTTTTACGTGCGTACGATGCGTGCGTACGTGCGTGCAATGTATGAAAGGTCGCACGTAAGCGTAGACGTAGAACCTCGCTCAACTCCACGTTTAATCTCGACACTTTATATCTTGCCTCTATTTTATTTACGTGATTAAAATTTACGTGCTTTAACGTGCGGAGCCAAAAAAGCGTCAGTGGAAATCCACCCTTAGCGCAAACCAAAACGAACTACACAAACTGTACTGCAAAACTACGATATGAAAAATACGCTAGAACATGCGGAAAATAAAACTATAGAAACTTATATTTAGAAAGGTGCTAATGAAGATGAAATAGCAAAGAAATGCTAACGAGGGGGCGAAAACTGACAGAAAAGAATAAACACCTAAATTTACGCAAACAAACTAAACAAAAGGACGAAAAGAAGAATAAACTAATTAGCGTGCGCAAAGGAAAAATAAATTACGCAAAAAAGAATAGTGGAAAAATGTTACACTTGGATCTTACAAATGGTGTAAATTTTAAAGATTACAGTTGAGGAAGTTTTAGCGTGTTCAAATTGTGACAGATTTTTAATCTGACCTGATGCAAAGAAATCATCCCCCCATGTAAGGTTATCTAAAGGTGATGTTACACGGGGAGATTCGCAACACAGCGTTGCAATGCTGGAACAATGTTGTAACCATTTGAAATGTTGTGGTCTAGTTTTATCCTTGGTTTAAATGTTATTTTCCTTTATTTCAAACTCATTATCATACATCACCATACCCAAAAACAAAAGAAAATAAAATTTTAACCTAGGATAAAATTGAACCACAACAGAAACAATGTCGCAACACTGTTCCAACGCTGTGTTGCGCTAAAAATCGTCTCGACTCCTTAAGAAAGTCTTGGATGGGCTGAATTCTTCGCTGAGGATTCCGGATACTAGGTATTGGATCCCTTGTCATGGAATCTTGGATTCCGGATTCCAGTCGTTAGTGGGATTCGGAATTCCTCGTGCTGAATCCTAGACATCAAAGCCCTACAGTTACGGATTCCATAGGAAGAAAATCCTTAATTCCGGATTACCTTACATAAAGCGATCAATATGAAAGCAGGAAGACATCTTTGAATTTTAGTCAAATGTCAAATATATTAATTTGTTAATAGTGTAATTGAATCTATAGGGATAACTTGAACTGGCTTGACTGTAATGCTTTTCAGAATAGCGGAAAAGAAAAAAAAAAATGAAAACACAACACAGTGAGGTAGTTACAAGAGGGTTTTTGTTGAAGTGAGTTTAAAGAAGAACTTTAAAATAATTGACAGATGTTTCATTGAGTTTCTTGATATGTATGAGAAGGTAGAGAGTTCGATAATCAAGAGGTTGCTGTGGTGAGTTTCTTGCAGTCTGCCATACTGCCAGTGTGACCTGCATACTGCCAGTGTGTTAACTCACTGGTTGACCTAAAATTAGTGCGAACTGGTCGGGGGATTTCAAACGCGCTTAACGAAGTCGTAATAACCTATGAATTAAATGGCTGAAAAAGATTATAGCAATAATACACAAAAACCCACTGATATAGAGTTATTGTTTGGAAGATTAATTGGACAGGAGCAGGACAACAACAACAACAACAACGACAACAACAAATTCGTAAATATCTGAATAACTGCCTAACACCTGGTGTTGTTTTAGAGAAATGTTTTCACAGAAGTCATAGGATGCTGGAAATTTGAAAACAAAAACTTGCATTATACTAATTCCGCCTTACTACTGATATGAAGTAAAGAATTAAGAATTATCATGATGGCCATTCGCAGATAACCTTTCCAACCCCATCTCCGCTCTACTCGATTACACATTAAAGATTACAAGACTTTCTTCGTAACGTTTCTCTCGACTGTCCCTCAGGTACTTCGAGGATGCAGAGATACACTTTGTTATCAACAGAGGGCCTGCATGATGTGTATATTTGTAATGATAATTAAGATTAAAGTAAAACTACTTTTTTGCTGTATCATAACTATCATACTTATTCTAGTTAACAGTCTCGGTGGTCAGTTGTATATGTCGATAACTTTTTTTATACAAGGATTTCCTTAAGGTACTTTTCCTGTATTTAGCCATCTTGTTTTGTGCCAGTTTTCTCTTATTTTATACTTATCAACTTTTAAAAAAGCAGCACTTTAAAGCCATAGAATCAAGATGAAGATTTGATCAGCCCATCTTTCACAACACACTCAGCCGGCCTTATCTGATAATTGTTTGTTTTGAAATTATTTCCCAGGACAAGATATTGACAAGATATCATTTGGTAAAGAAATCCTGAGTGAAATTGTATTCCTTAATAAACTATACGCAAGAATTTAACATCATGCTTTTCTAAAAATGCGCTAGTTGCGGTTTTAAAAGTGTAAGTTCAACATGATTTTTGTGGTATTCAAATTAAATTTATTTTTTATTCAAACATAATTAGAGTTAATTTTTCATAAACAAAGGAGCAAAAAAAAATCGGTGTTGACAGCATTATAAAAAGCAGCATAGACAACTCCATTTTTACTATCTTTAAATAATCCATTATTTGCCGGCATCTTTTTAAGCAAATTTGAATCCCGTGACTATGTTCCTAATACAGAAGAAATGAGACTGCATGGTTTAAATGTCCGTGGAAATAGATAGTAACTAAGAGGAATTCTCGAGGGTATGTGATGCGGGAAACCACTTCCCTTAGAACTTTCTTTCGAATCAACAACCCATTCGCTGTTTCTATTCATGCTACTTACCTTATTTTATAGTTTTGAATATTTTAAGAAACACCCCCTCTAGCTATTCCCACAGTATTGACAGCATGTTTAGATTATTCTCCCCCGTAACCGTTTTTAATTAGTTATTGCTTATTTGAGTGGCTAGTTCCTGTTACCCTGGCTTCTCTTTCCTTCTAAGCCCCGTTGGACACCAAAAACTCTGAAACATCACGGTCTGACACGCCACGCACATGTAATGTAGGACAAAGTTGTATTTTAAACACCTAAACGAGTGTTTCTTTTTGGCAAAATATACAAGAAAAGCGATTTTTGAAGTATGACATAACCTGGAAACGCAAAATGGAGCGAATGTTCAAGCTTCGACTTTTCACCAACGTCAATCATATATTGTATTGATTTGTTGCAAGTACAGAGTTTCAAGAAATGGCATCGTCTTTTCCACTAACAGAATTCCTCTTTTTTGGAATAACTTCCACTTGGTTACTTGGAATTGTTAGTACAACGACAACGGTTCCATCTACAGTTTATATTGGTAAGATAGTTTGCGCATTAACTTTTTGTCGTAATTTAATTGGAACATACTTTAAATTTCCTTTGTATCCTTATTAGCCTCATACTCCAAGAATTTTAATGTGTGTCTTGATTTGAAAAACACTCTTTTAGAAGCATCAAACGGAATTTATAGAGAAAAAAAAACTTTGAGTTCGGTTTTAAAATGCGACAGGTACGCTCTGCTTAATTATGCAAACCATGGTCTTATTTATCTATGTTTGTATTATTTCTAACCTAAAGCGTTCTGAAAGAGTTTATCTTTTGCTATTCTTGCCTATATCCTTATCTTTTCCACTAATTTTACCTGATTATCGAGGTAAAAATTTAAGTAAACAATTCAAAACTTTCTTAAATCATGTTGTTTTGGCGAGGTATATCACCTGTAAGGCCGGGTGTGTTTTAAAGTTTAATGATAAAGTGGCGATTTCATTTATTTGCTGAGAAAATTCCAATTCACTACATATGTGTCTGTTTAAAATTTATTGTGTTTTATAAATAGGAGGAGCAAAGAATTTTAAACAGCTTATAGCTCTCGTATGCATAAAAAAAAAAAGAAATGCCGTAAACCGAATTGAACTCAATCCTTAATAAATGAGACACAAAATATGCTGTGCTGCCTCAAATTCACAATACATTCACAATTGAGCTTTAGGTGAAGTCGTGTTAGGGTTTTGTAATTCAGCATGTTGTTGCATTCTTTGTCTTGTTTTGTCAATTGTTACGTAAGGATATCCAATTGTGCTTTACAGACGGCACGCAACAGTGGTAGCGAATTTGCAATGCACGATTTGAATAATTGTGGGTTCATTGTGGAGTAATGCGTCTCACAAGCCACCAGCTAAAATGCTAGACGCCAGTAAAATTCTCAGGTTTAATTGACAAATGGACTGCCATTGATAATAGCTCGTGGATGGTGGAGTTATTTATCCGACAAATTTATTGTTGCCTCAGCTGATGAACGCAAATTGATTAAAGCTTTATTTCCTTAATCTTGTAGCTCTGTTGTCAAATAAAAGTAGTAGTCAAGAATGGAAGGCTTTTCAGCTTGCAATCAGCCACGTTAACTCAAACAAAAGCTTGTTGCCTAACACAACTGTCAAGGCTTTCGAAGGCGACATGGATGAGGAGAACATTCTTGAATATGGTGAGTGCTTATCATGTGGTTTAAATAACAGCTTCAGTGTGATAAATCTACTCACAGACACCTGCACAATTATGAATATGAACCATGGAATGCATGTTTCCATCATTCGGCACTTCTGCTGAAAAAGGCTTACTTTTGGGCGTAATACCTATCACGAGGATCGTAATCGCCAATTTATGAATGACACACCTGGAAACACGCATAGGGAACCCAACCCACAGTCTCTTCATAGTGTTTTGAGTTGAAACGTCGGCATCTGAATCTCTTGATGGTGTCAAAACAATAAAACTGACAACATCTTACTAACTAAAATAACTAAAAAGTTTATTTCTAGTAGAAGATAAAAACGTTTCAGACTGAGGCTCGTTTTGCAAAGACAGACCTACAATGTAGTTTGCCAACATTAATACAAATGCAGTATATTTAACCCACAAGTAATGCTACCCACGTGGAAATGTCTACAACATTTGACCAGGCTGAGAGAAAATTTACCCCAATTTAGATTACATTTGTAAAACATTGTCTCGGTTTCAGCCAAGTAAAATCGTTTCACATGAAAGTGGCTATCCTTTTCAACAAAAGAAGGTCAGAAAATTTTCAGTTCAGTCCCACCTTTTTAGAGCCCTGTTTAATTAAATAAAGATACAGGTTCAAGGGTTTTCAGGTTCTTTAACTAAAATGCCACGTTCGTTTTTGCCTTATTCACATTTATACTTTTTCCCTCACTTGCATGTCGTGCCATTTACTCAGTGCATTTATATCACCTTTTTTTGTCTTTTAATAGCTTCAACTATCTCGAAGTTGGGCGTTGTTTCCCTTCTATTAGATTCTAAAGCTACAATTACCCATGAAGCTTTGACCATGATGCTGCAAATTCCCTTGGTAGCCACGGACACTGGATCCAGTCTTCCTGGCGGTGCAGATCATTTGAGATATGCTGTGAGAATGGGTCCAAGCGAACATGATATATCAGCAGCGATACAGGGAATTATTAGTTATCATAATTGGACAAATCTGCTTGTCATGTATGATGGTGAGTTTACAAAAGAAGAGTTTTTTTTTTTTTCCGGCGGTTTTTTTTTTTTTTTTTTCAACAGTATAAGATTTTGGGAAAATATTCCCCTACCCCCCCCCCAAACCCCCTTTTGCCCCATGAGAATCGTCCAAAAAATTGTTTGGGGGGGGGGTGAAAATACTTTTCGTTTTTTTTTTTTTTCTTATATGTTTATTTTTTTTTTTCCGGGGGTTTTTTTTTTTTTTTTGCAACAGTATAAGATTCTGGGAAAATACTCACCTACCCCGCCCCCAAACCACCTTTTGCCCCATGAGAATCGTCGAAAAAGTTGCTTAGGGGAGTGGTAATCATACTGTTCGTTTTATTTTATTGTCATGTCAGTTTATAGACCTTATTCACAATACCAACCATTTCTGCACGCGCATTGATATGGGATAAAAGCAATGTCACGTGGTATTTCAGGGGGCAAACAAGTGATAACATTTTCCAATACGAGTAATCGCGGTCGAGTTTGCTTATACTCTCAGAGCGAGGGAGGATTTAAGTCTTACAAAATGTGCAGTTCGAGTCAGTTTTAACAAGTTTTATGTCCGTATGCCTGCTACTGCATCCAGAAAAGAGACAATGATCACTTCCACTCATAATTTGCCATTATGGTCTTTAAGGTAAAAAGTTGTTCATTTTCTGTTGTTTATCAATTTTTATCACTCACTTTAGCAGTTTTTATCACTCGTTTGCCCCGTGAGAAACCACGTGACATGTGACATTGCTTTTATCCTATCACGTGCAAAGATGGCGGTTATCGTTGATAATTAACAATTAATGAATGAGGCTGAGTATCTTATGAAGAATTATGGAGATCGAGGAGGGTGTTAAACATGCTTACCTTCATCGATCCATCGATCTTAAGTTTATCTTCCATAGTGCACGTTTAGGTTTGTCCAGCTCGCAAATATTCTCCAAATAGCAGATGTCGCCCTTCGAGTTGTCTTCTTGCTGTTCTTGCCATTTTTTTAGCTATTTTTTCGCCTAGTTCTTACTCTTGAAACGAGTGAAACGACCGCCATTTTTGTTTCCACAACCAAAACAACTCAACCCCGTCCCCAGGTCTTCTCGGTTAACGGTGCCTTAACCTCCACTAACGCTGCATTTTTGACGTAATTTCCTCGTTAAACACAAAATTCTTCCAAATTTGGTCATCAGTAACTGGGTATGGTAAATTAAACGTGTGCTTTTAGCCAATCAGAATCGAGGAAATATTTTGAATGAATAATAAGGTCTATTAATACATCTCAAAATTTGAACAATAAAATAAATATAAATAAATGCACAAATATATGCATCAATAAATAAGTAAATAAACAAATAAATAAACTGATATTCTTTTCTTGTAGTTAGATGGAGGCACTTGGCTCACGACTTTGTTCTCAGCCTTCCACCAAAAATAAAGGTTACTAAACTACCGCTTGAGCTTGATCATCATGGTCACGCCTCGAAATTGTGTGAAGAAACCAAAAGAAAGCTTGTTGGCTTTCACGATGCACCTATCGAAGCATTTGTAGTATTCCTGGAAAATCACTGGGTCGAGAGTATTATAAACCAGGTATGGAGAAACGAAAAGAGGAGACATGTTTTGTTATCCCTTGCTTTTAAATTTTTTCGTTTCTTTAGTTAGTTTTATTTGTTCTTAAGGTGTTTCGATACAGTTTTTCAGAGGCCATACCGATATTTTTCAATCGCCTTAAAAGTGGTTTTTTCCTTGTCAGATCGCTATAAAATTTTTACCAGTAACTGGCTATGGATTGAGATTTGTGAAAATGTAGTTTTAAATAAAATCGATATTACTATGACAACAATAAACAAAAAACTTTGAAATTGATAAAAGCCAAATTTTGTGTGATCTAGACCTGCTACTGAAAATCCAACACTAGGAACTTAAAGTTTGGTGTTTAGCAAACAATCTCCGAAAGAAGTAAAAAATTCTGCATGTTTGAATTCGACTAAACCGAAAATATATTTCAAACCTTAAATTTTCAATAGCGGTGATAGATTATTTAATGAAAACGTTATAAATGACTCAAATTATTTTTAAGTAGCGTAAGAATGATGTTTAATATCATATTTTGATGCTAGAAAATTTTGGTGCACTTTCGTTCATGCGATCTTGAAATCTAACCCGTTTTCTCACCACCTGTATAAGTGTAACTTCATTCAGAATTTGGACTTTTAGCGCTTTCTTGTATATCTCCAAAACGACTCGAACGAATTTTTTTTAAAATCTCTTCACATAATCTTCATAATGTATATAAAAATGTCTGTAACTTTCATTAAGATTGATTCACTGCAACACCTTGAAATTTCAAGAGAAACCTATCCTACGAACCAGTCAAAAATCTGTGTTACAATATTCACTGTTTTGACGTTATGCTAATTTTTCCAAATTAATGCGGACAATACATATATCCATGACTAGTACATTTCAGTGTGAGTATTGTCAATGTTTTACATTCAAAAGATGCGATAAATTCAAACTAAAATGTACTAGTCATGGAGGTATGTATAGTGCGCATTATTTTGGAAAAATTAGCATAACGTCAAAACAGTGAATGTTGTAACGCAGATTTTTGTCCGGTTCGTAGGATAAGTTTGTCCTGAAATATCAAGGTGCTGCAGTGAATCAATCTTAATGAAAGTTTCAGACATTTTTATATACATTATGAAGATTATGTGAAGAGATTTTAAAAAAATTCGTTCGAGTCGTTTTGGAGATATACAAGAAAGCGCTAAAAGTCCAAATTCTGAATGAAGTTACACTTATACAGGTGGTGAGAAAACGGGTTAGATTTCAAGATCGCATGAACGAAAGTGCACCAAAATTTTCTAGCATCAAAATATGATATTAAACATCATTCTTACGCTACTTAAAAATAATTTGAGTCATTTATAACGTTTTCATTAAATAATCTATCACCGCTATTGAAAATTTAAGGTTTGAAATATATTTTCGGTTTAGTCGAATTCAAACATGCAGAATTTTTTACTTCTTTCGGAGATTGTTTGCTAAACACCAAACTTTAAGTTCCTAGTGTTGGATTTTCAGTAGCAGGTCTAGATCACACAAAATTTGGCTTTTATCAATTTCAAAGTTTTTTGTTTATTGTTGTCATAGTAATATCGATTTTATTTAAAACTACATTTTCACATATTTCAATCCATAGCCAACTACTGGTAAAAATTTTATAGCGATCGGACAAGGAAAAAATCACTTTTAAGGCGATTGAAAAATATCGGTATCGCCTCTGAAAAACTGTATCGAAACACCTTAAGCCAAATGTCTTAAAACAGTCTTGAGCCCCGAAGTCTCTAATTCATATAGTACCGGCCATTTTTTATCTTTGAGAATATGGCATATGTCATCAAGTTTACCTCTTCTAAATGTATGCTGTTATCACGTGCGTGGAGGAAGGGGTGGGGGAAAGCTTCGCTGTAAAGGTTGTGCTTGCCGGAAAAGTCCCTCCCACTACCCCCCAAAAGGTACCAGAATCGCCTTTTGTGTGCTTACTTCGCTTAAATTCATTTTTACCCCCAAGAGGTACTAGCTCTGAAAAAAACAATAAATCAAATGACAATTTTGAACAGAGAGGGAAAATTAAAATAGAGCCGATCCCGTTGACCAGCAACTAATTCTCATCATTTTGCGGCTGATCTGAGGTGATTTCAGGTGAACTCTTTGATTTGCATCAACTTTTTCTACAGGTTCACTGTGCATGCTCAATAAAGATAGAGAAGCCTCATAACTGGCTTTTGGCGGATCCGGTAAGTGAGTTCTTCCCTTCAGCGTTCTAAAATCAACTGGTTAAAAAATGAACTTCGACGACGCCCGCTTCCTGATTAATTTAAAACCGCCCACCACTGAGTTTGTTCTCAATCGTCACGATCTTACCGAAAATATGGATGCAGCATTGAGAATACTACAGTTATCTATCGAGTTCAGGACTCATTAGATAAATGAATTTTTGAAGCGATTGGGTAGTTTTAAGTTGTCCTTTGGCAAATTTGCACTTACCTGAAATGCATGTAAAGCACAAATCCAAGTTCTTGATTAAACTCTCAACTATATCAGTCAATAGTTACGATTATAATTTAGATTATGATTATAATCATTGTTTACCATTTTCGTTCAACTTAGATCTCTTCAACTGGTCTGACTGTTCAACCTTCACAAGTGGTCATGGGATTTCAGCCACACAAATCCAATAGCAATTTGACGCAGAATTTAATGGCAGATTTATTACCGTCTCAGGACATAAAGGTTTGGAACATTTTTCATATATATTTTTTTCTATTTCTTGTTATTGATACATTAACAATTAATGAATGAGGCTGAGTATCTTATGAAGAATTGTGGAGATCGAGGAGGGTGTTATCCGTCGAGGCCGTAGGCCGAGGCGGATAAAACCCTCCGAGATCTCCATAATTCTTCATATGATACGAAAGCCGAATTCAAGAATTCTTTTATTATTCATTCAAAATAATTCCTAGTTTAAAAACATGGCTACTGAACATGCTTACCTCCATCGATTCATCGATGTTGAGTTCATCTTCGATAGTGCTCGTTTAGGTTTGTCCAGCTCCGTAAATATTCTCCAATTAGCAGATGCCGCCCTTCGAGTTGTCTTCTTGCTGTTGACTTGCCATGTTTTTAGCTATTTTTTCGCCTGTAGTTCTTACTCTTGAAACTAGTGAAATGGCCGCCATTTTTCAAGTTCACAACCAAAACAACTTAACCTCGTCCCCAGGTCTTCTCGGTTAACGGTGCCTTAACTTGCGAAAACGCTGCATTTTTGACGTCATTTCCCCGTTAAACATAAAATTCTTCCAAATTTAGTCATCAGTAACTGGTTATGGTGAATTAAACGTGTGCTAATCGGGAAAATATTTTGAATGAATAATAATCTATAATAAGCTGAACAATCGTTCGATTTTAAAGGACTCTTCATTTCTTATCTACGATGCTGTCTGGACTGTTGCGCATGCTCTTCAAGCGTTGATATCCAGTGGAGAATGGGAAAACAGTTCAAGTGGAACATTGCAGCTATCACCGAATGGCATTTTTTTACTGGAGCAATTAAAAAGGGTGAGCAACTGTTGCCTGATTTCTTTCAAAATGCATTTTCGCTATGATATATTGCATTCAGGTGAATTGTAAGCCTGGTGATTATATGAGAATAATGTAAGTTTATTTTTTCTTTCAGTAACACAGGCGGTTAGATAGAAAAACAACAACAACAACCTATGTATATGTTATGGTTCAGTTTTATCCTTGGTTTAAATTATTTTTTCTTTTGATTTGGGGAACGGTAATGTATGGTAATGAGTTTGAAAGAAAAGGAAATAGAATTTAAACTAAGAATAAAATTGAACTACAAAATATACGTTTTAAAATTTGTAGCTTTTCTCTGCACGCCTCGACTATTTACTAACAAGTATATTATCCTTTATTCTCGCATATTTTGTAACCGTCAGGTTGAAATAAAGGGAACCACGGATCTCATCCAGTTTAACAGCTCAGGAACTCGGATTAACAGCAAATTGGATATCAAGAACCTTCAAAATAATAAGTTTGTGACGGTATGTAACGTAAAGGAACGTAACGTAACGTACTGTGATGTTGCGGATGAGGGGACATCAAAATACGTGTCCGCTTTACGTTATACAGTAACAGTAAGCGCTTGGACTTAAGCATATTATTGGTGCCTCACCTTGGTTGTCAGGCCAAATATGAGATGGCTGTAACCCACCCAACCTATGAAATCATGTCATTTTATGCAAAGTCAAGTTGTTTGGTTTGGTTGTTCTGTTTAAGGCCGATATTACATTAGAGATCATACTAACTTTTTGTTCCGCACTCAACAGTTCATTTTGACGTGGTGTACATATAAATTGGGGGGAATATTTCTTCGCGTAGGTTATTTCCTATTTGGGGGGTAGTGATAAATTTCAAACATTAGAGCCAGAAAACAAATCAGTACCATAACATTCGTTCATAACGAGCTAAAATTAAAAGTGTGAAGGGTGTATTTTTTTTATAAGAACATCTCAGTCACTGTGTTGTCCATACCCCAGGCGCGACGTAAGCAAGTTCCAATGCCCTTCTTTGTCATCATTTTGAGAAAGAAAAAGTTCCAGAGCTAGAAAATTTGGAGAAAGAGAGAAATCATTTGACACCACGAACTAGATAAGAATTGATTTTCTGATTTTTAAAGGTTAATGTATTGTGTAAAACGTAAATAGGTTGGCCAGTGGAGTTCTTCTCAGCACAAGCTTCAAATCAGTAGCAGACTTCAACAAAACAAAGAGACTGCCGGGATAGTTCCCCTGGACAAACTTAACAGGCGCCTCAAAGTAGCTGTTGTTAAGGTAAAGGACCCACTGAAAAGCGCCATGGCGAGTTGTACCCCCTCTTTAAATATATAACAATTATTGGATGAGGCGGAGTTTCATCTGAAGAATTATGGAGATCGAGGAGGGTGTTCAAATGATAGGAAAGCCGAATTCCATAACTGTTTTATTATTCATTCAAAATAATTCCTAGTTAAAAACAAGCTAAAACATACTTACCTCCATCGATATTAAAATAATCTTCAATTACATGTTTATCGGCAAGTTTAGGAGATAAAAGGTTGTTCATTACTGCAGAAAAATATTCGCCAAATAGCAGATGTCGTCAGTCGAGTTGTCGTCTTGCTGTTCTTGCTATGTTTTTTGCCAATAGCTCGCCCGTTTCTTCCTCGTAAAACAAGGGAAGTGTTTCGCTATTTTGTACTCACTACCAGTTGAAGACAACTCAACCTCGTCCTTGTCCTAATGTTTTAGGAGACACATTTGTTTGACACGAAGCTGTATATAATTTGTCAAGTTCCACAGCGAACTGGCATAATTAATTTTAAAATGACACAGCTCCTTTAAATTCAGATTTTTGGCAGTCATTTTTTTTTTCTTTTTTTAGGATGCTCCGTTTGTGATGGTGAATAAAGATGGCGAACTGGAAGGCTTTAGCATTGACCTTATTAAGAAGATCGCTGACATGCTTTCCTTTAGATATGACATTTATCTATCCCCTGACGGTCTTTACGGTGGTGGGAACGAGAAAACAGGCTATACAGGAATCGTAGGAGAAATCACGGAGAATGTGAGTACCAGAAAACAATTCGCCTAGCGAAATAATGACAACTGCTTTAAGGAGCTGTATCACGAAACGTAGCCACATTGTGCCACTGGCGGGGAGTGAGACAGAAAATAATCACTTAACCCTTTAATTCCCAATGGTGTCCAACATCAATTTTCTCCTAACCATATCCATTGATTGTCAAGAGATTAGGTTATGAGTATTAATAAATTGATCACCTAAGAGAAAATGCTTTGATCTTTCATCAAATTCTCTCTACTTATTCTTTAAGGAAATGTGTAGAGATCAGTTTGGAGAATTTGTATGTGGATAGGGGGCTTAAAGGGTTAAAGCATTTGAGAAAGGTTTAGACTGACAAAGAAAATACAAATGATGGCACGGATGGGCAAAATTGAAGATAAATAAATGGATTATTCAGTTTGAGTTTCTGAATCGTATTTACCTAAAAGTGTTTCAAAATTACGCCTCAGTGCTGTTGCTTATATCTTATAACATGACGCGCTGGGGACAAATATTCTGAAGCATTAAAGTCCATTTCAGAGTAGATACGAGTATGATTTATTAGCAATGAAACTAAATGGACCAGGCTGTCGTGGCATAGCCTCCCTAGCTAACGTTCGTAGCCTGTCACGGCCCTTTAAATGGGTAATTATCATTGATAATCAGCTTTCTCCGCATTTCGCTAGATGAAAGAATTGTCGTTGCATGTGCAGTCCTCAAGAGATAGATACGGTGATAGAGCTACATGGGGAACGAAAAAATACTTTTTTTACGGTAATTGGATTTTTTTTACCATGAAAATTAATTTCCCGCTTGCAGCGAGCTGACCTTTCCACATCGCCGCTGACCATCAATTCCGAGAGACTGGAAATACTGGATTTTAGCAAGCCATTCATGCAGTTCACAATGAGTTTAATCACCAAGAAACTGGACACTAATGATCATGACCTGACTACCTTTATGCTACCCTACTCCACTGAAGTCTGGCTGCTTACGCTCATGTGTCTTCTGTTGGTGGCAGTGTTAATGTACTTGGTAAATTTCTTCAGCCCATATGGTCATCGATCGCGTCATAGGCATAGGCATCTCGCAGAGACTGGTGAAGAATTCGACTTCTACAACAGTTTATGGTTTTGCCTCGCTTCCATGTTACAGCAAGGAGCGGATCAGACGCCAAAATCATTTTCAGGTGAATTTTAACATTCGGTGCACCGGCTGAAATACTCCCTATATTGCCCACGACCTGCTGCTGCAGCAGTGCTAAGACAGTTCAATGCTCTCTTCGCTGTAAAGAAACCCACAGAACGTTGTATTGGGCATTTTCTAGGGTAGAGAAGAGACTAGATTAACATTAGTTCAAAAATTTTCCTTAAATTTTCCTCAAAATGCCAGTTGTAGTGTTGTCAAAAGGTTACAAGGATACACCAAAAAAATCCAGAATTCGGGTCGTTAACAGAACAAAATGATAGATGAGCAGAAGAAAAAATCATCCACCCCCGGTGGGACTCGAACCCACAACCTTTGAATTAGAAGTCCAACACGCTAATCCATTGCGCCACGGGGGCTACACGTATGTTTGTGGAAATATTTTATTTTTATGAAATAATTTACATTTTCTTTGATAAAATTTTAGTTTATCCTTCTTTGCGTTAGCCATTGGTTGTTTTGTGTACTGACCAAATGATGGTACCTGTTATAGGAGAAATACCATTTGATCAATTAAAAGCAAATAAGGAAAAGAAAGCCATTTTCCTTTTTTCCTGTTCACTGAATTTACTCTTTGTTTGCAAGTCGATATGAAATACAATACAATAAACTTAAACTAATATCTTGAACTGTTTAGACCCGAATACGGTATCGCAACCACAAGATGCATGAGAAAATCAGCCGAATTTCCACCTAATCATTTCAGCAACCTTGATGTACTTCGTTAGCCGTTTTGAGACGAATAGGTTCGCAGCAATTAGTTTAAACACGTCGATTGAACTACAGTCGACACCCTTTCCCGGACCAGGCTGAATATTCTTATTTATTGTATAGATACTGATGAAATTCCAAGATTTTTCCTTTTACTGAAAAATCATATTTTCATCGCGCGCAGTGAAGATACTATTTTTATTTTTCATGTGTGAGGATATTGGTGTCGCCATGGTTACTAACATGATTAGCCAATTATTGCCTCTATTTCTCCTTTATAACTTTATATCCGAGTTTCATAACATTTTTGTGACAGGTATTTTGCGACAGGTGACCACTTTAATGTGAGAGAAGATAAAATTCGTATCCCCGCGCGGCCATGTAATATCCTCTATTTTTCCGCCGACTTTAAACTGAAATATTTTTTTATATTATTATTATATTATAGCTTACGACATTTCCGTTTTAGAATATATTGGGGTATCATTTACAGTTAGTGCAGGTTTTTTCCATTTTGTTGGCTAGTTTGGCCGTTTGGAAAAAGGAATAGTTGTAAAACATGTAGTTTTATTGCATTTATTGATTTCAACACACAACATTATATCCTTTTCCTAATCTCAGCCTTAGGTTTATTCTTAAAAATATTCTTAAAATTTGGCAAATTTCAGCCTCAATGATCTTATAAAATATATTCTTATAAAAGAAAAGAGTGTATGCACTTGCAACTTGTCAAAATGCCACTTCAGTATTAACGACCACTTTCTCGCAATGCCAATTAACGCTTTCATATTGAAGGTACTATAGTTGGAACTATCGTAATTGACAACCTCCGCAGGCTTCCTTAAGTCTTGTAATGGTCTCTTACGTGTAGCTTGCAGAACAGGCCTAGGAGTTATTTTTGATAGCCTTTTCAGGAGAGCGAGAGCAAGTGCGAGGTGGGCTGTAGAGCGCCAGACACGCGCGACGGAAGGGATCGAGGCGCGTAATTCGTGCTAAATTCGTCTGCCCATACCCCAATCGCGTTTTGTCCCGTTCGCCTTGAACGGACTACTCACATGAAATATGTTAGTACCCTCTGTATACTATATTGATTATAGTCATTAAAAGGGCAGGTAACGCTGACTGGATAATATTTAATAATTATTCCTCGAGCCCGAATGGGCCGAATGGGCCGAAGGCCGAATGGGCTATTGACTCGGAGGCCATGAGGGCGAGAGGAATAATTGTTTTAGTAAAATCCAGCTAGTTGGTCAAAAATAACGAGAATAAGAAAAATTTAGCTTGTTAAAGCTAGACTTTAATCCTTTTTTGCCGCCAAAAAGCCTGCGCTTTTCGCTACTAGTGGGCTATAACATATAGCCTAGTAGTGGCTCAACTAATCAGAACGCAGCATTGATAACAGACCACTAGTTGGATTTTACTGCCACTGAATCAATGATTTATCCTTTGTACAGCGCTATTCGCAGTTCTTTGAACAACTTGGCCCTGATTTGCAGTTATCTTATCCCCAGGTCGTGTTCTAGCCGGGTGCTTCTGGTTTTGTATTCTGATCTGGATATCGACCTACACAGCAAATTTAGCGGCCTTTTTCACCGTCCGAAACAGTGAGAGGCAAATCAACACATTGGAGGATGTTGTGGAGGGAAATTATCCATTTTATATCCTGCGTGACAGTGCTATTTTTGAGTTCTTTCGCGTTGCCGATTATCACACCTATAGAAAGCTCTGGGAACGAATGAACGCTGAAGATACTTTTGTGAACTCTACTGACGAAGGCTATGCGACGACAAGAAAGGTTCAGAATGCGGTGTTTATGTCAGAGGAACCATCGACGGAATATACGATCATGCAAAAGCCTTGTGATTTGAGGACAGGTATGATTTCATTTCTAACAATAGACCATTATATTGTTTCTTGTAGTAAATCAAAATTAAGGTGGAATTTTTGAAATTTACTTCATTGATACACAGGAAAAAAATCTTTTGGCGGTGAAGTCGCGGCCATAAAGGAGAGCCTCCACAAGCGAATTATTTAGTATTAATAATAATAATAATAATAATAATAATAATAATAATAATAATAATGATAATCAAGATGATGATGATGATGATGATGATGTGATGATGATAATGACTGACAAAAATTGAATCGCTGACCCCGACGTGATTTGAACACGCAGCCTTCTGATCTGGAGTCAGACGCGCTACCATTGCGCCACGGAGTCAACTACAGAAGACATCGCTCACTAAAGTGGTGATTTCCTACAACGCCCAGGAAAGTTTCGACCGTCTCTTTGATCGCATTTCGTATCAATGTACTCTACTAAGGAATTTTGATATTAAGCGTCTTATTCATTACTCGCTTGAATTCACTTGGTTTCACAACCATAACAACCAACCAATATAAAACGGTTGCCTCTCCGTTCACCTGCGATCATTCCCCCCTCCCTTTTCTCCTTACTTCTCAAGAGAAGAAGGGTTCTTTTCTACCCAACAACTAAACAATACTAACTTTTATCTCTCATCCACAGTTAAAAATCATCAGTCAGAGTGAAACGATTAAAAGTTTAACTAATTTAAGCTAACAACACAAAAAGTTCTAACAACGATAAGGAATAATAATTGTAAAAAAAAAAATGCACCTGCTTTCCATGGCTCGAAAAATGGTTATGCGCACCTACCCCTCCCCCCCACCCCCCCCCAAGCCAACATTTTGCCCTAAAAGAGAAGTAAGTGTTAATATTAGCCTAGGGGAGGGGCCGGGGAAGGTGGGCAGTTTCCCAGAAACGTATCAATGATCCGTTGTAAACCGTGTACCATACTTCAAAAGAAATCACTGCAGCCGGATTAGAAGAGAAAAGAATTCGCGCATGCCGAAGCTCAACTATACCTCTCCTCTAAGGAAAAAAAAGATTAAACAAACCCGTACTCCTGAAGGCTATCTCCTCTCAATATAACAGCCACGTACCCTTCTCTTTGTGAGGAAAAGAGATTGTAGATGACTCCGTGGCGCAAAGGTAGTGCGTCTGACTCCAGATCAGAAGGCTGCGTGTTCGAATCACGTCGGGGTCAGCATTTTCAAAGCCCCTTATTTATTTATTTATTTATTTATTTATTTATTCATTTTTGCGCATACAATCCCTTATCTTTCTCGCCAGAAATCAAAACCTGTACCTTAATATGATAAATGGCAGAAACGCTTTTAAGAACAGAAATATCGCAATTTATAGGGTGTCCCAAGTTCGTTCCTCTAATTTCATGCACTATAACTTTTGAACAAAACTTTATTTCTTCATCAGAGAAAATATCTAAACGATGTTTATTGCTCTGTCGAGTCCTTGTATTCAGAAGTTCAGTAACCGGCACGCCCCCTTTGTTTGGTTGTTTGGTTTTGTTTTTTTTTTTTATCACGTTCCGTTAAGACGTTGCGGCATGGAGGGCGGATAAGTCATACAGCGCCGGTGGAGGTCCAGATGATCCATTTTGATCATTTTTATCACCTCAGTGGTACACAGGAGCCATTTCGACCCCAAACAATTTCATGTTTTAGATTAGGCAGCTGAAAAAAAAATCCTTTAGGCATTCATCCAAAAAAAAAGCCTTTCCGCAGTAAGGCTTTTGTACTTCTTTCTAAATTTGAGACGAGATGAACGTTAACGTTGCTTGACATACTGAACAGAACCTTTTTTGTTATCTCAGCAGCTCTCAGGGGCCTCCTACTCTTCGCTTTTCATGACCCTGGTCCAGACTAAGCTTGCTAACTGTTGTAAGAGCTACCTGGTTGAGTTCCTCTTTTGTACCTAGCCTTCTTTAAAACTGTTTTAGCTGCTTTATTCAGGACTTTCGGTCTTCCTCTTTGTTTCTTGTCTTCAAAACCTTTATTTCGTGTTGACCATTTAATCTCCCAACTTTCAGATTTTCGAAGTTTTTTTAGCAATTTCTTTAACTGATAAGCCCATAGACCGAAGTATTCATGGTTATGCTTTCACGTAACTGAGCATTTTTGCGTTATCTTTCATGATATTCACAAAAAACAAGGAAGGAGTTCGAGCAATTAGTGCTACAAAAAAATTATGTGGCGGGAAAATATACTCGCGCACGCGCACTTTTGGCGCGAGAGTACACAAATCGAATATCCGAGCCGAAAGATGACACATCAAGTATGAAAGATTAAATTAGATGGAAAAGACAAGAATTTTCTTTCAACAATTTGCTTATATCAAGTCAAATTGTACTTCATTACAGAGACGTCTGACTTATAAAGAAGAGGAACGAACTTTTGGGACACCCTGTGATTGAATTGAATTGATTTATTTTGTTGCAGTGCATGGCCTTCTTGGGGCTGGAAGTTATGGTGTGGCTATGCCTAAACACTCTCCTTATATCAGGAATATTTCTGTAGCGATACTGAGACTGCAGGAGACGAGTGTGTTAGACAGTTTACATAGAAAATGGTGGGAATACAAAAGTCATTGTCCTAAGGACAGCAGCAAAAGAGGTAGGGCGTCAGGGTTTGAATCAAGCGCTTTAAAACACTAGGCCAGTGTTGATGGTCGAATCGTTGACCCGTTTGTAAGTGAAAGAGAACCAAGAGACTATAAAGGGGACAGAGAGGGCATCCCCCATATACACCCTATTCCATAGGTAATTCGTCTCGAGTTATTGTTAACACCACAGATCTCAAGGGGGATTAGACAACAGCCAATCACATAGCGCGAATGTGTTCCGCGTGGATGACCCACGCTGAGAACCACGCGTCCTTCACGAAATGACGCAGAACAAAATGGGGGAAGACGCGGAGAGCGATTTTGCTATTCCCTTTGTCGAGGAAAACGACGACAGCGAGATTTCTGCGAAAGCTGTGTCAGCGAAACCGAAATTAAAAAAGAATCGCCCTTCCTCTCTTGTATAGAGCTAACAGTAGAGCAGGGAAATCCTTAACACACTGAATATTCTCTCAGGATCATTTATAATTTACAGTTTGAAGAGAGCAATTTCTGGTTTGATGTTTATTTTTTTCAGTCTTTATAGCGATTATTCCTACCCACTTACTTTGTCAATTGTAGGCGAACCCTCCTAAAGCTGAATTTCAAGGGACCATATTCAAGCTCAGAAAGAGAAATAAAATTTCGTCGTTGCTTATTTACGTCCTCCATAAAACGCGAAATTAGGCATTTTCACGTCGTAGTCGTGCAAAAACGGGAAAGAAATGAACAAAAAAGTGTGTTGCACGTGCGAAGTTGTTGTTTTGCTAATTAAACCTATTGTTTTTTTGACGTTCTAGTTGTCGTCCGCGTCGTTGGATCTTAAACTCCCTAAATTGTACAAACGACCGGTTTCAATAGACCGGCGAAATTTCTCATTTTATTAAAGCACTGAGGTTACGACAACTTCGAGTTAAACTGATTTCACGGGTTGTCAAAGAGTCCAGCGATTCCTTTTTCCCAGGTGAGCGCCGACTCATTTCGCTTCAATATTCAGGAATGCTCTCGATCTTTTTACGCTTTCATTGCCTCTCGCCCGACATGTTTTGCACGGCGTTTGGTCATGCGAAACCTCCACGAAACATCCACGCCTCGCGCGAGGTAACTTTATCCCGATTCTAAAAATAACTCGAGACGAATTACCTATGGAACAGGGTGTATATGGGGGATGCCCTCTCTGTCCCCTTTATAGTCTCTTGAAGAGAACATAATTAAGCCACCGTTATATTAGCAGTCTGTTGGTCACAGTGACTGTCAAAGCCTCGTAAAGTGACATAGCTTGCCTATAAGGTAGTTTTCTTCTCTCTTTTTCTCTGCTTCTTTATTTTTCCTTTCCTTTTTTCCTTACTTTTTCTTTTTGTTGTGTTTATAGTTTGTGTTTGGTTAAGTAAGAGATACAGCTGCTCGGACAGCTGAACGGAAGTCAAATGAGAAAATGATGGGGGGTGAGGCAAGAAAAAGAAGACATAGCCGGAACAAATTTCGTAGGTTCAATGGAGGCTGTTTTTCTGTCTGTCCCCCGCCCCCCTCCCCCTATCGTTTTTTCGTTTGACCTCGGATCAGCTTTCTCTTCCATTTGCTGTATCCCTTACTTCACAAAACGTAACCTGCAGTGCAGGCGTATTTTGGGTGAGCGAAACCTTGTTCGTGTTCGTAATATTGTTGTAGCCGCCATCTTTGATTTTATGACAGTGGAAGATTGGGGAGAGTAGAAATAGTAACCCTTACGGTAGGTGCGAGGGCGAAAGAAGGAAAGTGGGGAGGGGGAGGGGAGAAAAAAAATACGGCGTTTTCTCTTCTCTCTCCCCGCCCCTTCCCCGCTCCCTTTGACTCGCCCCATCTCCTCCTCTCTTCGGGAAGTTTCATCATGGCGCTTTCGCGCGCAAATTGCGCGCTCAAAGAAAACGCCTGCACTGCAGGCTACACAAAACGCAAACGAAAAACACACCAAGAAAAACAGCCTGCTACGCAGGCTAGGGCCAAGGCCCATCGTCGAACTTTTTAGCAGATGGATAGAACATATTGGTTTTTCTAAACTTATCCAAGCGAAGTTAACTGAGACAGGGGGACACGCCGGTCAGCCTGTTGCTAATAGGGCGCTTAAGCAACAACGACGGCGACGGCGACGGCGACGGCGACGGCTACGAAAGCGTCACTTAAAAAGTATATCCGCGCTGCCTCAAACTTTATCGCGATTATTCCATCTTTTTTAATTCATCAAATGCTGTTATTTCTTTGGAGTTTAATTCTAAAGGATTCATATCAAAGTTCAGGAAAAGAAAAGGACAGTTGTTGTCTTGTGTTCCCGTCCTCAATCAACAAATCGTGAAATTGGGCATTTTCACGTCGTAGTTTGCAGTGACGGCAAAGAAATGTACAATAAAAGCGTGATGAACGTGGAAAGTTGTTGTTTTTGCCAATCTAAACCCGTTGATTTTTTTGTCGTTCTCGTTGACGTCGCCGTCGTTGTTGCTTAAGCTCCCTAATGTGTCTTCCCTGTCCCAGGCAACAGTTCCAGAAGTGTTTTCGAAAGTTAACTCGACCCGATTTCCTTTTTATGTCTAAAGTGGCAAATTGAGCTTGAATTTTTTAAATATCACAGCTGTAGGTGACAGCAAGAGGATTCAGCTGGAAAACATGCTGGGAGTCTACCTTGTGCTGGCTGCAGGTGGATGCTTCTCTGTTATTCTGGTATTAGTAGAGATATGGTGGAGGAAACATGGGCGTCACTGTGTAGCTGTGTTGCGCACTAAGCTTTCATTCATGAGGTACGCCGCTCAGTCAGGGACTATACAGGGGCTTTGATTTGGGGAGTGCAGGAGTCAGAGTGCAATTTTGGTTTTTGGAAACTTGTAAGACTAACAGTACCCTGCGAGCAGAGGCACTTATCTAGGAAGATCGAAGGGCCTCTGCTCGCAGGGTAGACTAACAGGTTTTAACCTGTGGATACCGGAAATGTATCCAAAGGGTTTTTGTGATGGGTTTCGATATGCAAATGTGTCACTCGCTCACTTTACGTTGACAGAGATCGGCTCTTCGGCTCCAACCCGAACTCCTTGCCCTAAATGAAAACGACATAGTTCGTAGTTGCCGAACTAGGGCTCCTGAGCATTGTTCACTCCCGCATCCAAGATAACCTAAAAAGAGTTTTCAATGCATTTACAATAGGAAGAAACCGTCGTTGGGTGCCCCTGATAGGTAAGATACGGACATAAAAAAAGTTTTTTATTATCATTGTTATTTTACAGAGAGAAGACTTCGACAATTATTCGCGCATATCCCTCTTCTGTTCAAACCAGGGATGACGAAGCAGATCACAAAGACGACTACGACAATGATATGTACGAAGGAACTCCATGCTAGATGCCCTACATTTTATTTGTTATATTTGTACTTGCAACGATCTCCCATATAACTTTTAAAAAGCTGTTAATATTTATATTATGTCCAAAATCAATATCAAAATTCAAATTCTCAGTTGTTATCCCCATATGTTTTCAATAGAAGCAGTGGGCAGAATTTGTTGAAGTATCAATTAGATTCATCTTGTGTGATCAGGCCCTCAATTCTCATGACCACTGTGTTTTATAAAGCAGTGATATTACAAGGAGAAATTTGACGCTGATCACTCTTAGGGCTTAAAGGGTTAAAGCTGTGTTGTATGTCTCAAAAAAGACAGACTTCAATCAAACTTTAAAGTAACAAAACAAGATTCACAAAGTAAACCAAGGATTTGAATCAGACCTATATCCTTAATAATAAGAATATTACATGAAGGAAATTGATTCCTCACGGAGATGGGTCTGAGGGAAACAATGTGATCATGGTGAAAACAGGCGTGCAGAGAATCTGCAGAGGAGTTAAAAATTCAAAGTTTAGCCCTTAAACTGACGCAGCCCGCAGCCTTTATTAGGGCCTGAAAGAATTGATAGAGAAACACAAAACGGATAAGGTGAATAATTGAACCTAGCCCTGAAACAAAAGAACTGCGACATATGTGGGTCCAAAGAAAGTAGAGGTTTTAAAGAGGTGCGAGGCTACTGCTTAAACCCCTAGCAACAAGAAGCGTATAACACATTCTTAAAAATGGTTGACGCGGTAGTTTAGCAGTGATATCAAACCATCAAACTGTGTGTACAGCTGTATTTTTGACGAACAATATACAGCCAATCATCGGATGAAAACTAAAACAGAAATATGACGTTAGAGGGTAACAGTGCACTGTTACCAGCTAATGTTGACCTACGATTGCCGTTACAGCGAGGATTAATGAATTTCCAGCTATATCAAATCAGTTAAAGACTGGTTCTTCGGGAAAGAGTTTCTTTCGTTTCCCTCTGCCACGGGAAACATTGAGATTCTCTGGAATCAAAATTAACTTTTCGCTCTGGGAGCAGTTATTAAGTGTTTATTATGATATAATTAAGGATATATCAAAAGCCTGTCAAACAGGCACTATTTATTCAAGTCGCGTCTTTAGCCAGGGCGTGGAACGCGAGACGCACGACGCAAGAAGGTGCGGAAAAATAATATCTTGAAGGTATACATTTTGCGGTGATATGAAGGTTAACTAAGTTTATAATAATCATATATATCAGGCTATTTTCAGTTGTAAGTGAATTTAACATTTTAGAAGTTGAAAAGCGGCTTAAACAGTCTTAAGAGGTTTTAGAATAATGATAAATGGCACCCACTAAAGTACCTTCAGTCACGACACAAAGTGATCACCACTGGGTATAGTTTTTGAGGTGCTCATCCCTTTGGCATTGTGAGATCTATGGATAGGGTCTCTTTAATTCGTACTAGATGAATTAAAGGACATAAACCATATATGTTTTAATATAAACTATGTGGTAAAGACTAATAAAAAGTAATACCCCTGTATAAAAAAAATAAAAAATAAAAAATAAAAAATAAAAATAAAAGTGACCGGTTATTTACATAATTCTGCGTTGCCCTTGTATTCCTTAACCAGAGTGTCATTTTTCGGATTAGAGCCTTAAAGAAGGGCGACAATTTTCAAATTAACTTTCCTTAAACAAGGCCAGGGTTTAAGAACCTTTTGTTAGTAGCTTTATACATCCAAAATTGACGGACTAAGCCTCCCTGCCATTCCAACTACAGCATAAAATACCGTTCATAGAATTTCGTTTTATATTAGCCTATTTCACAGCGTTCCTCGACTTCTTTAATTTCCATTCTCGTTTCTTTGTGCAATTGAGATAGCTGGTGGTTATTCTGATCACTGGATAAACCTTTTCACAGCAATACCACATAAAGGAGCAAATTAGCCCGGAGCACATCTGTCGCGCAATCGACAGCTTGTTGTAAGCTCTGACCCAGGCTAAATACAAGCTCATCTTTCAAGCCAAAAAAAGGCGGTCAGAGCAAAGTTAGTATTTCAAGCAATGCTGGTGTGAGTTTAGGAACGTTTCAGGTGACGAATGTTTGACAGTCACCTGAGAGCCTTTATCAAAAAGACCTACTGCCATAGTGAATTTGTGAAGATGTTGTGGTTCAATTGTCTCCTTGCCATACCCAAGGAGTGTGAAACAAAATAAATGTAAATTTAAACCAAGGAAAAAATTAAACCAAATTATAGACGTTTTGAGTTCGTAGTGTAAAAAGTAATAGACTAAGGGTGCGTTCCTTTGAGATGATCTGGATCAGGATCAGTGATCCGAGATCACTCGGACCATGGTAGATCAAACGAACCGATGAATCCACTCTGGACAAGGATTCATCGGTTCATTTGATCTACCATGATCCAAATGATCTCGGATCACTAATCCTGATCATATCAAAGGAACGCACCCTTAAGCCTTACGGGTTGTGACATTAGCCGCCGAAGGGTGATGGGCTCCTGACTGGCTATTTCGAGGTTGCGCCAGCAGAGTCGGTTAGCCTGAAATTCATTCGATTACTTCCAGTCGTTATTACTCCCCCAGTAACGACGTTGCTGAGAGGAGAAAACGACTCAAAGCAATCGGATGAAATTCAGGCTATTAGTCGGTAATAATCTTATGTTATTTGATGGCATTGGATGGAATGTGATAAGAATGGATGTGATGGGATGGGATGTTATGACGGAATGTGATGTGATTGGATGGGATGGGATAGGATGTGATGGGATCGAATGGGATGTGATGGGATGGGTTGAAATGGGATAGGATGGAATGTGATGTAATGTAATCTAACGTCGCTGATGGGAGGACAATAGAAGTGTCCTGTGTACAGTATATACTTGAAATTAACAGTAAGCTTGGACATCAGCATACGAGGTGGAGTGGCGAGTTTTGTTTTGTCGCTGTTCTGGCAAGGTTCAAGAAGTGGAAAACGTGGTTAACGAGCCCTAATTTCCACGCGCTCAGCAAGATTTTTACTGGTTGTTATTCTAACGGGACTATTGTCCACCTTTTCTACAAGAAATCCGTGGTTACCTATCCCATCAAAGCAGTTCACCAGGCGAGGAAGTTAGGTACCAGGAAGTTAACAAAAGGGATCATCCCAATCCTCTCGCCCCTTTTTTTTTGTTTTGTTTTGTTTATTTTTATTTCAGTTTTTCTTGTGAGCTCACTGTATGGAGTGAGAAAATCGTGAGAGAAAACAACTACAAGCAGATTGTAAGTGGTCAGAAAGTAGAAATTCAGAATCCAGCTGGCTCCTTGATAAAAATTCATTTATTTTAGGTAGGGTAGCAGTAGCAACATCACGTGATCGTCTCCTTTCGTCCATTTAGTCACTAGCAGCGTCTGCACACGTAAACTTTCAATAATTATCCATGCACTCATAAAACGCATAGCGTCAAGGAAACGACCACAACCTAATGTTTCACGAAAACCAACTGCAATATTCTTTATAATAAGGAGAATTGTACAAGTCTACTCGGCTGAAAGCGTTTCCTTTCTATTCCAGGCCTAAATCTACATCATTATGCAAAAAATCTCAGAAAATAGAAAAAGAAAGAAAGAGAAAAAAAGTGCAAACTAAACATATATGCCGTGTAAGCCGAAATCTATCTCTTTATCATTCAGACAACTGAAAGTGCATAAAAGTAGATATTTCAAGTTAACTTAAAGCTTGCCTGTAGTTTGTCACTATTTATACACTGAAAACAAAGAAGGCCTTTTACAGTAGGCAATACATGTACAATATAATTATGTTGTGGTTCAATTTTGTCGTTGTTTTAAATAACCATTTCCTTTGTTTTGGGGGATGGTAATGTATAATAGTGAGTTTGAAACAAAGAAAAATCAAAATTTAAACCAATAAAAATAATTGAACCTCACTACATACAATGTAAACTGGAATCTTCTGTGATTATTTTCTTGATAGAATATTACAGAAATAAAACTGTAAAGAGAACCAGTTCTTCCATCAGTTTCAGTCAACTGTTTGCTCAGGTATAAATCTGGTGGTCAAGCTGCTTCAAGCAATTGAGCAAAGAAAGAATCACAGTTCAATTATTTTCTTCTGCGACTGTTGGAAGATGCCATGATGGTAAGAATTCTGATGAAGATATTGATGGTGTCCATGTAAATACCAATAGACCTGTAAGAGGGCAGTCAAGCAATAAAATAAATAAATAAATGGATTTAAATAAATATAATTATAAATATTATAAATAAAATAAATATTAGCAATAGTATTATACAAAAATGAATGAAAATAACACCATCTTTGACAAAAAAAAAAGAATGTGCAAAAGGTAGATTAGTTAATTGTTTTCTCAGCAATACAAGTACCAGGGCTGTCCTCTTACAGCACCTTATTTGCGCTCTTGGCCGACTACAAAGTCTCAGTTTTTTTGCATGGAAATCATATATTGGTTTAACCTGACTGGGGATCTTCTTTGAAAGGTCTAATATGGTTTGCTAAGATCTCCTGCCTTTGTAAACCAATGAAATGTAACTGGTAGTCATATGTATTGTGATGGATGAAATAAAATAAAAATCAAATGAACCTGGATTTCACAGGTTTACAGGGTAGAACATTTGGCTCCCTAGATGTTTTCGTAAAGAACAACCTTGTACAATAATCATGTCCTACTTAATCAGTCATTGGCTGTTTTCAGGCCAAAGGGCCATTATAAATTACATAAATATTGTAAATTAACCTGCTATTTATGATCTATAATGATACAGTCCACTTACGCATTGATGGGGTCATAAGGCCTCTCAGCATAAACAGGATACGTCTCAGCCATTCTGATGATTTTCTGTGTGTCATACAACATAAATCCTCCAAAAATAACCAGACCTCCATATGTAACAACTGACTGAAGTCCAGCACCCACCACTGATGTTGCAGGCAAGAATAGTGTCCCTAAATAAAAACAAACAATAATCCCCTTCACTACAAGAATCAATTAGGCAGACAGTTGATTACTGTAGTTCTAACTCTCCATTCTATGAATGAAATCCTGTACAACTACCTGTTCAGTACCACTGAAAAAAGTAACTTTAAAAAAAAAAATAAAATAAATAATAATAATAATAATAATAATAATAATAATAATAATAATAATAATAATAATAATAATAATAATAATGATGATGATAATGATGATGATGAATATGATGATGATAATGATAATAACAATTATAAAATTTCTTCTTCTTTTTCTTGTTAAAACAGTCCTTGTACAATGTACCTATTTAGTAACCTTTACAAAAATAACGCATATTTTCAGTTTGGCCAAGTACATGACTTATACTGTTCATGAGATAGAGGAGCACCAGCCCTGTAATATTGCAAGTCATCTCAGTGTTTGGAAAAAAATTAATATGAGATATTCCAGTAGAATCTGTAATCAGAATTTACACTTGACAAACTGTATTTTATCAAAATGGCTGAAGTACATTAAATATCAATCTGAAACTTTCAAAAAGTGCAAAATTATTAAAAAGAACCTGGTTTCACTTTGAGCATCACAGAACTGTCAAAATGATGCTACCTACATCTGTGTTCCATTTACCTAAGCAGGCCATGCAAACCCCACCAAGTCCAATGGCCAAAGGACCACCCCAAGTAAGGAACTTGCCATCAGGAGCACAGGCAGCAGTCAGAGACAAGGCTCCTACGACACCACCAGTAACAGCTGCAGCTCGCAGGACCAAGGGACCTCCAAGTAACATCATTGGAGCAATGAGAGTTCCAATCAAAGCACTATGGCCTGCAAAATTAATTTATTGTTCAAATGTAACAACTGCCATTGATAATTGAAGGAGTGTGTAAAATTAGACTTCTAACAGGGTTAAAAAAAAAAAAATGAATTCCAGCTTGTCCTTTGGGCAAGTACACTGTAGCTATCATATTTTGCTTGCTCTGGCCACTTCTTGCACGCCTTCGTTAATGACAAGTACTATCAATAGATTATTTTCACTGTCGCCCAACGAAAAAATAAATTGGAAACCATCCAGTGGAAGAAACCAAGAAAATGAAATGTTATAAAAGACTAGTTACTATATAAACAATTTGTCCAAGTCTCAGGTCTTTGTGGCCACAGTTTCTGAGTTATCGGCCAAAAAGTTTCCCACGCCTTTGTAGAGCTTTGCATGGATACGCCATATTGGTGTACCACATTGGTGCACCAATATGGCCACCAGAAATCAACAAAAACATCTGCAGTTTACTTTTTCTACAAAAGCTCTTTCTTTTCACTCAAGAACTAGCATAAGTGCACATAAACATTCCAATACTTGAAATGGTTACACAATGTATACTACTGAAAATCAAGAGGAGAGATTTTTTTTTCAACGAGACAGCATTCCTTTTTTGGTGTCACCCACTGTGAATACTCAGAAGTTCAAATTGCTGTATTTTCTAAATGAAACATGCTACGGGAATGGACACTTGTACAAAGATTTACTTTTTGTTTATCTTCAACCTAGTGTAAATAAGAATTCGTAAAACCCCGCTATTTTGGCTTTACAATTTGATGACGTCACTGTTAAAACCATCTATTGCCAAGTATTGACAAAAATATTTTCTCTCAGAGTCTGTTTGCTCAGTCTTCCTCTGAAAATGGGATAAACACAGTCTATCAATTAGAGTTGTTAATGTGCTATTAGAATGGCCCTTCACTCACACTGCAAAGCTGTATGTGTCAAGCTACAGTATTTGCTCTCTTTTCGAAATTAGACTGTAAGATAAGGATGACTGCAAGGATGGGATTTTCTATATACTAAGTTGTGTGCACATGACATGACCCAGCATCACTTTGGTGGGTAAACATGTTAGCTGTCAACACTCTACTACGGCCCACCGTCGTAGTGGTGGAAACAAAATTAAAAACATGTCAAGGTCAAATGATTCTTGTCCTCATGGTCACCTTCATCTTTGAATTTAAAGGTCTCTATGATTGCCTCTTACCAGCCCAAGCTAAGTGTTTAGCATTCAGCCCAGGTGCATATGGCAAACTCATGCAGAGTATTGAGCTTCCAATGGTGGCAAGCATTCCTCCTCCAACAACCTGTTGATTGATTGATTGATTTCAATTTATTGATTTGCTTTTGTTACTTTACAGGTTACATATTATGCTGAAAAAATTTAATATTGAAAAGGATAGTGACGAGGAAGCCTGAACTGGAAGCCTGGGGTTTATATGGGGTCCAGGCTCCCCCTAGATTATGGTAGTTTAAGAAGACATAACCTTAGAGAAAAGATGACACACTTTTCCAAAATAAACTACAGTATAAACTAGGATACAGGAAAAAAGAAGAAGAATACAACTGAATTACATGCAAAAATTACTTACAAAAATAGGATGACATTTTAGCTAGATTATTTTTGATAAAAGTTCACATTTTAAGGAAAAATTTGAAATTAGCTAGACTAGTCATGGTTAGTAGTTAAATGTTTGCTTAAAGAGCACCAGAAGAGTGGGCATTGGTAAGAAATACTAGTAAACTGTTTTAAGATTGTGAGAGACTTATGGGGTCAAAGGTTTTGATCAAATCAAGTACAATGTATCCATGAAAAAAGAGTTTCAGATCTATAAAGATTGTCGAATGTGGAAGGCAATAGATGGTTACAATACGAGAACATTATAAATATACTGAATTAATCTCGGAGACCTTTAATTTTTCAAATTCTTAAAGCTTGGTTCTAAAGGAGCTTGATAATCTTTGTTGTCAATTCATTGAACAATGCGTTTTTGCAAAAAAATGATCCCAAGTAAATTGGGTTTATAAGTTACAGCCCAGAACTACAGTCTCAGTCAAAATGGTTGGGACACTTTGGGGTCTCCTTGTCCCCTCAATGTTGGTGTACAAGATTTGGTGACCGAACCGCGATAAACAACTTTGCGAGGGACGAGGGGAGCACGAGAAGGGAAAAAACAGCGTTTGGCTAAAGTGTCCCAACCATTTTTGTCTGAGACTGTGTCGGGGAGATATTTGAAGGCATGTTGACAGATACGGAGGTTAATCGGTAGGTCGGTCACAAGCGACGGGCTTTTGGTTTGTTGGGTGTCCATTGTGTTTCGCGAACGTTTCTATAGCATTGAACTAAGTTATGTGGGCATAACAGGATAACACAAAGAATGACCAGTTCGCAGAAATTTCTTGGGCAGAGTAGAGTATTGGAAAATAAAAGAAACTGAGTGTGCACTAAACCGTACACAAATAGCTTTCTAGTGGCCGATTGATAGCATGACAATATAGCACGTGCATACTATCTACGTAAGATTCAGGGTTTTAATATACGAAGAGGCGCTCGAATGTGCCACATTTCTAGAAAAAATGTGTGGAGAAAAATAGAGAGGCCTCTTTGCCAAGAAAGACTGTAGGAACAAGGCTCAAAGGGACGCCTTTCTAACTAAAGGGCAAGAGGCGAAAGACAGCTGAAAGAGCGATTAAGCCATTTCGGGAGAAAGGGGGAAACTTTTCCTCCAGATTGGAGGAAAATGCAACAAGCCAGGATTATTCCCAAGACGTAACAGCGAGAACAGTATCCCGCTTGCTAAATTTCTAAAGATACTATTGACTACAAGCGCGTAAAAAGGGTGTCCAACAATAGTGTAACTGTTTAGTCCGACGCCAAAAAGTTTCTTAATGATATTCCAGGCTACTGCTGTGAAATCGACAACTTTTTATAAGTTGTTTACAACATATGTTAATTTGGCCTTTCGCCAAATGGTGACATCGGTTCTCATTCTTTACCCCAAATATACGCCTTCCTGAATAGCTCTAAAACAAACTACTGTGCCATAAATGTGGGACTTGGGGTGCAAAACATGAATCATATCAAACGGGGACACTACCTGTCCTTAAAACCTCAAAAAAAAGCGTTATACTCGACGTGTACACGGGTCACCGTACATTAATTCAATTAATGATAATAATAATTAATTAATTTAATTTCTTATAAGTTTCTTTCGGCGAGCAATCGTGTCACCATGATCAAAGTTTTAATAACTTGTCTTACATGTATCAAGGCGCTATAAACCTTGGCTATTTCAATTAAGTGTGAAAGTACCTTATCCTTTTCTTTCTTAATCCATTATATATACCAGAGAGGTCTTAGAAAACGCCCTGGATAGTATGGTGACCCGTTATGGTGTCCCGTCCAATCGTGTCTCCACCGGTACAATATAGTAGTGGCAAGATACACAGCCTGCGAAATAATGCGCGCAGTTTTGACTCATCCGTTGTTCACTCTTTAAACCCAATGCGCAGAAAGCTTTTTTAATACCTTGGAATGTTGTAATTAAAGAAACAAAGACTTCTTTCCTCTATTGATTGTCTTCTCTCTTTCTATCCGTGAAATCTCTAATGTTTTTCCCGAAAAAATGGCACCGAAACGTGCATATACCTCCCTAGCGATTTCCCGCCACTAGAGCCAACGAGGAGTCACATGCCTAAAATTCCTCTAAAACACAGTCTCAGTCAAAATGGTTGGGACACTTTGGGGTCTCCTTGTCCCCTCAATGTTGGTGTACAAGATTTGGTGACCGAACCGCGATAAACAACTTTGCGAGGGATGAGGGGAGCACGAGAAGGGAAAAAACAGCGTTTGGCTAAAGTGTCCCAACCATTTTTGTCTGAGACTGTAGGTTGGAGTAATTGTACACATAAACAAGTGAAGCAAGAGAAGAAATTTCTTACGTAGAGAGTATTATTATTTTAGCTAACTTAGAGGCAACATGACAAATTTGTGTTTTCCAAGATAGCTGGTTTGTAAAAATACACTGCAACTCCTAGAAAGGACATCGACTGTTAACCCAATCGAAAGTTTTGTCATTGATTTCTAATGATTTTGACAAAGAGCAATTCTGGTGTCGTGGCTTAAATAACATACAAATGGTCTTTTGTATAATTTTTAATGTTACAGGTCAAATTTGATTTCAGGTTAACTTAGATTTAAGCTAGTATAGGTGAATTCTCAATTTCCTTCTCCTACCCCTGGAAGACAAAGGAAATTGAGATTCAACCTAGGTTAAAAACATGTAACCTGAAATCAAATTTGACCTATAACAAATGTTCAAAGACAGCTCGTTTGCTTGAAACCAGGTAGAATTTTTTAGATAATTTGAAGTTTGCCAAGTCAGTCAAACAGTCAGGATCTTTGCCTGACAGGGCCTTTACAAAATTGCGATATAGCTGGTTGTGAAATTCAGACGGGGGACATGGGGCCCCCCCCCCCCCCCCCTAACAGGGCCTCTTTACTGGCCAGGGATGTCAATAAGGGCTGGTAGCCAGCCAAAACTGCCTAACAAAAAAAAGCACCATTGAATAAGATTTTAAAACATCCGTTCCCCAGTTTTGAATGACATTGAACACATATTTTAAACAGGTTTAGATCTGTGAAACGTTTGAACCATGTGATGTTCTGGAATGCCTGGGACATTTCGATGGCATTATTCCCAGTCTTGAATGTATTCTGACAAAACAAAATGGCGTCCGCCGTGGAAAATACCTATTGAAAACCCCAGGAACTGCCATTTCCGAGACTTTTAATTTTAAAGTGTCCCTAGATTCCTCAGCCCTCAAGAACTTGTGCCTTTGGTGCGAGTTCCGCCTACTTTTCACTATGCTACTGCTACTTAAAGCCTTTTTGACAGCCCTGTTTACTTGTTAGTGGCTAGAAAGGAACAGATGACAAAAACCCAAGAACACCGGCATGGAAGGCTAATATGGATATGAGGTAGCATATAGGTGTTTTTAAAAGCAAAAGAACACTTACAAGCCACGGACTAGCTCTCATCATGGTGTAGATAGCTCTAGTCTGACTTATGCCATACGCGGTAGCTGCTGTCACAGCCAAACTTCCAGCAAAGTAGGTGTAAGTTGACCTGACACGATCACGTACAACCTGTGGCCACACCATTGCTCGATCAATAGCTCCCACTTCATTGGACAATCCAAGACCATAATAACACAAGGCACCTACACCAAACAATGCGGCCCCACCTAGTGCAGCACGCCCAGCTGTTTCAGCTGTAAAAAAATGTCAAGGAGAAGTAATGTTAGGCTTTTAAATTGAGAAACAGTGGTTTTTTTGGGAGGAATCAGCCCACCAATCAAATGGAAACAATAAAGAACATTAATTTAAGGGTAACAGTCTTTATCCCTCTCATGAACAGTCATTCTTTGAGGCCAGATACATCTTCACTATGGGAAAGAAATTTTGCGCAGTATTTTTTGACCTTGCTACAAAGTACATATCATCATGGCATCATAAAAGTAGTCACAAAATAGCTGAAAAAATAAAGGCTTGACCAGGTTATGATATGGTTACAATTTTGCAAAGACAGGATGCTGCCTTCTATCACAATAAGCTTGTCAAACAACCCATAGAGCAGAAAGTTTGTAACCAAATTAAATCTAATTTTTATCATAGACTGTAGAATAGCCTGCAAATAAAGCTATTTCCCCTCGTTCCTTGCTACGTGGGACATTTTATGGGAGAGGCATCTACTATTTGGCCTCAATCCCAAACTGAAACTGACGACATAGATTAATTAATTTTTTGTCAAGAATCTGGTCAACAAGTGATGATTGGTCAACACAGTAATTATAATCTTTTATTTATTGTTTATTAGAATGACAGACAAAAGATCACAAAGATTGAATGTACAATAATGTAACTGCCATAAATCTACTAAAAACAGTCATTATTCATGGAATATAATCTTCTATTACAAGAGGCATTTGAGTTTTGCTGCCACTTGTCCAAAAAAAAAACTCAAAACTTTACATTAATAGACCAAGAGAAAGAAAAAATCGAACAATTTTTTACACCTGGAACCCTGTCCATGCGACTACCAGATTAATAAACCTTGAGCACATTTTTGTGGGCCAAACTGATCGCAGAAATCTCTCCTGCAAAACGTCTCTGCCAGCGAGGAGATAGAAGGACAGAATGCAAAGGAAGTCGTGTCCGATAACCCAGGTTTAATGGATACAAATGTACGTTATCGGGTAAAACTTGCCAGACAGGCAGGGAATTCAAATTACCAAAGAACTGTAATCAGTCCTGCTAATTTAATTTTTTTTTCTTTTTTTGGAGGGGGACGAAGGCAAATTAAAATGACTTTTGGGCTAGTACATGCTAGGTACAGCTCGTCAAAATGGCAAGCTGTTAAAGTGGCTCTCTTTCAGTCTTTGCACCCTGGAAGAGAGACAGCTGTATTTGCAGGCTATTACATGCATGTGAACCGTGAACACAACAGGTGAATGTGGATATGACCTTCACAAATATGTGATTAACCTGATGGATTCCAAAAGTACTAAATGAAAGAAAAAGATATATTACAAAACTAAACTAATGTAACTGCAACGATCACCACCACACTGAGTCTAGTAAACTGCTTTGATTGCAGTTTCACAAAATTTAAAGTCTCTTAAGAAAATTTACTTCATACATTCACGGGTACCATTTTCTGCACTTTTTTTACTAGCTTACCAGTTATACCAGGTGCTTTTGTAGTTCCTTCCCAAGTTCTCCATGTTTTAGCCTCAGTTTGGAACGGCCGGTTGCAGTTTCGAGATGGAAATTGCCTCGATGACTTTGAGAAACTCTGCGTCGTCGTTGTAGAAAAATTGCGAAGGGATGTCGCAGAACATCGGCCCAATATCCTTACCCCGAACATGGTGCACTGTTTCTTGGAGTTTTCTGCTATTTCCGTCCTCAAAAATAAACTTATGTAAAGGCCCAGTTTCGATGATTCAATTTCCTCCTCTTCTTGCGTCAAATCACTTTCGTTATCTTGAGCATAAATGTCACAGGATACCGCTGATAATTGCACAAGAGAGCCTGCTCGCAGGCGTAAGAAGCAACCAGGGAAACCCGAGTAGGGACGAGAAGGTCCAAAAACATTGTTTTCCTGTGACCCCACCGCTTGTTTTATTATGCAATCACTCGTCCCTTTTTGTAGAGGGGAGGGGAGAGGAGGTGGAAGCTTAGAAAAGCAATGCTGATATCATAATTGGTTCTATTAACTAGTAATTGCTAAACATTGTGCACATTTCTGACGCTGCAGCAGTAAAATATATAAAATGTTCACTTCAGACGACAGGCATTGCGCTACGACGTACTCAGAAAGCCGTCCTTGGTTACTCAGGAATTTCACGTGGTTTCGCTTATCCGTTTACGAATGGATCTCGTGGAAGGCACATTATCGGTCAAATCTTTTAGAACGATCCACTTTTACTTTTCCTCGTCCCTTATCCACAAAGGCTGATTGGATTTGATGCTGTTGAAACTTAATTATGAACAGTAGCAACAGACTTTTTACACAAGGACCCATAAGCCGCTCAATTTCACATGGAATGTTTTTAAACGCAGGAGCTGGCGAAACCTGTACTTTTTTTAGTTTGCTAGAAATACACGTTATGGCATCTTGGGTTTTCTAGACTTGACTCCACCATAGTTAGTAGAGGGGGACCCTCTACTAACTATGACTCCACAAAGTTTTTACAGTAAATAGTGATTGACACTTGCAGACCACGGTCAATCTTTAGCGGTCCCAAGGGTAAACCACTCTAGCCAATCTGTGAATGTGATGCAAATAAAATGCGATTATGTTTGTCTAAGAGTTGTTGATTAAACAAAGAGCCCAGAGCTGTGGTTGAACATTACCGTCACGGCATTTGAACGCCCTTGCGCAGGTTGTTTTAGCTTCGGCGAAAAGTGGTTGTATTCTTGCACGATCTTCCTGGAATTTAAGCCACAAATCTAGCATGTCGCTAGCTAATATGAAGAAAAAATTGGGGCAGATTAAGGAAGAAATCGATTGCGCCGAAGAGAGGGAGGAAAACGCTAAGCAAGAATTAAAAGAAGCTCTCGCCAAGGCAGAATCATCCGAGAGCGAAGCCGATGGTATTCGGCGAAGAAAAGCACTTCTTCAAACTGATCTTGAAAAGATATTGACAAGATTGGACAAGCAAACGTCCTTGCTCCGAGAAGTTGAGGAGAAAGGAGATACCCATGAGAGAGCAAGGAAAGAGCTAGAGGAATGGGAAATCGAAGGCGACGAGAAAATACAAGAATTAGAAGACGACATGAGGGAAGCGGAGCGAAAGAAAGAAGAAGAAATAAACCTGCTCAACGAAGCGAAGCGCCGACTAGTTGTTCTGGAGGGCGATCTGAAAACCGCACAAAACCGCGCAGAGGACGGTGAAGAAAAGGTTGCCAAACTGAAAGAAAGATTGGAGACGCTAAATGAAAAGACGGTGAAGTTGGAGGACGCGGACGACTCTGCGAGCGAGCGAGAGAAAGAAACCGAAGAGAAGTTGAAATTCCTTGAAGAGCAAATAAAGGAATTGGAGAAAAAGGCTGAAGATGAAGAGAGACAAATTGGTACTTTGAGGAGGACTCGCGAAAGCATAGAGACTGAGAAGGAAACATGGCTAGACAAGATTAAAGAAATACAGGACGAAATGGAAAGCCTTACAACAATGGCCGACGATATATGAACCAAAAGTACGAAAATTTGCATGAGAGATACTCTTCATGTTGGATTATACTTGACTTTGCTGGTACTTGGGCGAAAGCCAGCTTGCGTTAATGAGAATTTCTTGGTGATCTGTAAACTCTGAAACTGCCCAAGAATATTTCCAGAATCTCTTTAGTACTTGGATATGTATAAACACCGATTCTTGATTTCGATGCTTAGGAATTTTGAAGAAAGGATTATGCAAATATTTTGCCAGTTATTAGGTAAACATATTTTTCAAGCTGTCTATTTTCAAATCGTTCTCGTCAGGAAAGAAAATAGTTTGTCTTTCATCGTTACCCCGCTGCGCTGGTAACTCGAGCTAGGTTATGTTTCATTACATCCGAATGCCTAAGAGTAAAAGTCGTCGTTTTATAATAAAATAATCATTACTGACTGTTAAACTGTCGATTTGTGTCTAGCCTGCGTACTGTAGGGGAATTGGTCTCCTTCGCAGCCGTTTTTTGGATGTCACGCAGCGTTGCGTGACATCCAAAAAACGGCTGCGAGGGAGACTATAGGGGATTAGGAGGAAGGGAAAACGAGGGTGTCTGTAAAACCAGGAACAGGCCGGAACACCCCGGAACACTCCCCTGACGGGCCAGACCCTGCCAGAGCACCCTTAATTACAAAACCAAAAAAACCTAAAGTATCATGAATGAATCAGGAAATCTCTTACATCTGTAACGAAGACTGGGTCAGACTGACGAACTCACCCTACGTCAGTAAAACCTTTATTCAGTAATGACTTCTGAAGATTTTTAAAAAGTTAGTTCGTTGCCTTTGCGAATACTTACTAGCCTGTAAGTCTGAAATCTAGCTGAAAGAGCCGCTACTGAAGTCAAGAAAACAAAATAAACTAAAAATAGATATCTTCTGAGTAAGAATTTTGCCGATTTGATGTCTACCGTGTTCGAGGAGGGTCACCTATAAAATTCACTTATTCCTGTCTTGTTTTCTTTTACTTTGATATTTTGTCTGATTAAAAAGAAAAATATTCTTGGTTTTAGTGTTTCATTTGATTTTTCAGCTGTTTTTTTTTCTTTCGAGCGGTAGATTATATACGTATTGCATGGAGTTTACTACCAGTTTTTGTTTTCATGTTAATTTGTTTTTTTAGGTGTAATTCATGTTAGTATGTTTTTAACGTTTTTTTTATGTGTAATTCATCGGATATATTAGCCTTTGGCTACTCCAAAATCCGAAGTTAATTGGTCTAAGTGACGGAAACGGGAATACGCCATGAATCTGAATTCCAGACTCCAATTCGATCACGGTAAGCGTACATTGAACGTTTAATTATCTAGGTAACAACGGATCCAAAAAGATCGTGATCAGTCAAAATAGATCAAATTGAAAACGTTACAGTCAAACAACGTGAAATAGAGTTTAGTTGCGATATTTCGACTACCCAATACCAGTCTTCATCAGGTTTATTGAGATATCACGAATTTACAGAAATATATATGAAGTAAAATAATGACCGTAAATTACATCATGATATGACGTGGTAAGGTGTGGCTATCTTAAAAGACAAGATAACAAAAAAATACAAGATATACGATATATAGTTACAGTTCATCACGTTTGTTGATGCCAGAGGCTCAATTGTCTTAGCTTTATGAATAAGGTGCGGCTTCACGTGCTTTCCTGAAAGAATCAAGCCCATTTTTAACTTTTTCAATAGGAATCAAAAGCATATGATTGTCGGAATGATTACTGGTTAGAAAGTGTTCTGAAACTGCAGTATGGATGTAATTACCAGCAGGGTTGAATATAGGTCGTACATTGAACGATTCATCAAGCAAGACCCGATTTAACTGTAGTTTGCTAAAACGATGATGATGATGATGATGATGATGATGATAATGATGATAATGACAATGGGTGATGATGATGACGACGATGACGATGCCTATGACGATGACGATGACGATGATAATGATGATGATAATGACAATGACGAGGGGTGAAGATGATGATAAGGACGTTGACGATGACGATGATAACGATGACGACGACGACGACGACGATGATGATGATGATGATGATGACTATGATGACGATAAAACTCACGTACTATCGCCCCTGTGTGAAAGAGTCAAGAGTCAATTAGAAAAATGAAATATTGAGACCATGGACACTGAAAATTCTATGATGTCACTCTTCACATGAAACTTTTTATCATGAGTTGTACCTTAACATGGTACTATTCATTTCCCTCCTTAGAGAATGTTATTTGAAAAGCACCCTCGACCACTTGATATCTTTATTTGGACAGTTTTGACAGCAAGAGGGTATAGATAGTGCACTTGTCTTGATATCACCTCAAAGAAGTCTAATTCGACTATATTCTCAATTGAGGCGGGCGATGTTTTATACACGGAAACCATTGAAATGGCACAGGCTCTAAATACGCACTTCTCTCGTATCGGAACCAAGCTAGCCGCCAAAATTAAGGAAAAACTCCGGCTTATAGTCAGCAATTCCAGAAAACTTTTCCCTCCTGTCTTTTCGCGATGGAACGGCTATCTTTTTCCTTTTGTAGTATCTTTTGTTCTCAAGCAATTGAAAACCTTAAAAACTAACAAAGCTATAGGACTGGATCGTATTAGTGCACGATTATTGAGAGACTCAGCTGAATGCATTAGGCAGCTTTCCTGACCAGACTTTTTAACCGGTCACTTGAGGCAAGCACTTTTCCATCGATTTGGAAATATGGTGGTGACTGCTTTATTCAAAGGAGGCGATCGAACCGATTGTAACAATTACAGGCCAATCACAGTAATCCCAACCTTTAGCAAGATCCTAGAGCGGGCTGTGCACCAACAGCTGTACGAGTTTTTATCAGCGAATGAATTACTTACTCCAACTCAATTTTGTTTCCTCCCTAAACTTTCAACCCAGAGGAGGACCGAATAGTATCCCATGATGCATTTTTCCAGAAGCATCACGCCATATCGCAGTCATAGTAGATTCCATCTTGAAATAAGGTCGTTTTCTCGTCGGCTTTTTTCTCACTCGATTTCCAGTAAAAGTAAAAAAATTACATTATTTCGTTATTTGACATGATTTCTCCGATTTGGAATGGCTTAAGAGCAAAGTTTCCACTTAGGAACATTTATTTTCACGGTTTCAATTAGTCTTCCCATCAC